GCAAATCATCCCCGTAATGACTGCCAAATACAATGACCAACACAAAGTCAAAGACAACTAGGCACGCAGGGAACTGAGGCACCCTGATCAAAGAAGTCAGCAGACAAAACAAACAGATGATGAGCAAGTCTCCTGGGCCCGGACTCCTCTGGGCCACGAGCCAAGGGCAAGTCATGGCCACCTTGCAACATACCTTCCCACAGCTTCTGGTGCCGGTCTTTGGCCTCTTTCTCTGGCTTCTCGGCCTCCTCCTTTACTATCCGCAGCACCTCCACCTGGTCCTCCAGGGACTTCTTTCCGGCCTGTAGCTCAGTGAGCTTTTGCTGGGTGGGCAGAAGGCAAGCAACCAACTCTCCTTCTGTTCTGCCTTCTTCCTCATGCACTGCCACCCCCCTGCCTCTACTCCACAGAGCACCCGCAGGATTTTTCCAAAACTCGCACCTCCCTGGGTCCCCCACCGCCACCCTGCAGCCCACTGAAGAGAAACCCAAACACCTTAATGTGGTCCCAGGGCCCCCTGTGACCCTGCTACCTCTCCAGCTCCACCTGCCCCACTGCTATTGTAAACTCTAGGACCCAGCTGCCCTAACAATATTTGGACGCCCTAACGCTCTCTGACCCCAGTTCTTTCTGTCTAGAACACCCTGCCTGGCCATCTCTGAATTACTCTATAGGTTTCAGCTTCAAGGCCTCCTCCCCCAGAAAGTCTTCCCACTTCTTGCCCCCAAGACTAGCAGGAGAAGGAGAGGAACCAAGCAAGAGTCTCCTCTATGCCAAGACACCCTAGGCATCATTTTCTATCTGTCTCTCCTACCAGGCAATGTACCCTTGAGGCAGTTCCTCGTGTGCTTCCAGCCTCACGCCCAGGACATGGCACATCCTAGGCCTCTGTGGATATTTCAGAAAAGGAATGTTTGTGCTGGGCAGGCTCCAGCCTAGGAATGGGGTCCTAAGCTGTAGGGTCTTAGCCCGAGCACCCACAGGATCACTTTCCTCCCAAGAACGTGCATGACACCTCAGACCAGCCTGCTGCTAGGATCTTCCCAACTCCCTAGAAGGGCAAAGGTCACTTGGAGACACCCCCACCACTAGCTCCCCCACTAGCCCCTGAACTCAGGAAGGAACTCACTGCCCCGTGAATTTGGGAGGGACCTTACTAGCCAGGCCATGAAGATGGTAGAGAAAGACCTGGAACCTTCCCTGGGCTGAGAAACTGAGCTAGAACCCTTGCTCGGTGGGTGGAGCAGAAGCCCAGGAGCAACGTTGAGGACTATGACCCATCAAATAGCCAGGGGCATGATAGGCAGGGGAGGGAGACACACACCGGGGGAGTCACCCTCCTGCGGCTCCCGAAGCACCCACCCTATTGAACTAACTCAGCTGCTGCAACCAACATGATCCTGAGTCCTCCCCTGGTCACACAGTCATCAGCCCCATTTACAGATGACTGAACCACACACCTGGGACGCAGGGCGGCGTCCCTCCTGTTCTAGAAGGCAGCAGAGCCCCCCCAAGCCTACTTCAGCCTGCTACCCAACGCACCGATCAACACTGTGCTGACCATTTGGTAACGGCTTACCCATTGACTACACACCAAGTAGACAAATGAGTAAACCAAGGCGCAGGCAGTAACTGGCCCTAGGACACCACTTGTAGGGAGATGTCAACCTCATCCGGCCTTGCCCGCCCATGCCTTTGGACCACAGGGCCCAGAATGTCCTGTGTCAGCCCCACGGGGCTACTCACCTGCTTCTCCTCCCGGGCCTTCTTCCAGTCCTCAATAAGGATCTTCTTCAGGCGGAACCCCTCACGGGTAACCTCTGCCATCTGCTGCAACGTCTCTCTCTCCTTGCGGCCCTTCTCTCTGGGGTGAGGGGACACACAGGCACCGTCGGGAGGCATTTAGGGCCCATCAGATCTGCCTCTTCCAAAAGGGTTCAACCCCACCTGCTGCCCCCACATTGGGAAAAATAAGAGCAAACCCTCCTCCTCTACCATGCAGGCTGCGAAGAGAGATGGGAAGAGAGATGTGGGCAATTCGCCCACCCTCTGGGTCAGGAGTGGGACTAGGGAGTGCTGAGATATGAAGCTGGAAATTGGCTCCCAGGAGAGCAAGGAGAGGGAAGCACAGAAGTCACAGACTCCTGGACAGTCTGGCTGGTAAGTGTGTTGTGCATAATCAGTCCTATACTTAAATGAAGGATCTCCAGGCCTGGCTAGTGTGGCTCAGTGGATTGAGTGCTGGCCTGAGAACCAAAGGGTCACTGGTTTGATTCCTAGTCAGGGCACATGCCTGGGCTGTGAGCCAAGTCCCCAGTTGGGGGCGCATAACAGGCAACCACACATTGGTATTTCTCCCTTCTCATTCTCTCCCTTCCCCTCTAAAAATAAATAAAGTCTTCTAAAAAATAAATAAATGAATGAAAGATCTTCAATCAGGACAGTTTACATAAATATCAGGACTTTTGGTTTTGTTGAAAAATGCATCAGGCCCTGTCACCTGGTGTCAACTGAACAGGAATCAAGGGCAGCTATCCCTATGATCCCACAAACCCTTTCACTCCCTAATGCCTTATACTTAGCCTGGTTCTGCTGTTTAGATTACCTGCCTGTGGGCATTTCAGTTTTCAGGTCCTGCTCCACAGTGCAGCAATTAAAAGCATGGAGTCTCAAGTTAGACGGAGTCCCAGCTCTGCTATCTCCTAGCTACGTGACCCTGAGGAAGTCATTCTTTTTAAACTCAAGCTTCCTTAACTGTTGAACGCACAAATGATTGCACCTGCTTCCTGGCCAGAGGGAAAACTGATGGTGGAGCCTTCACAAGGCACCTGGCACAGAGTGAGCGCTCCCTACTCAAAAGCAGAAAAGAGAGGCGGCCTGATTCACCAGGCAGGGTAAGGCAAGGTCCTGAAGGGTAGGTGGAACCCACGTACTTGCAAGTGTTCTCACAGACGATCCCACTATTGTACTCATCGGTCCCATCGCAGCAGTCTGGGGGCAGAGGCAGGGGCACCATCAGACCCAACAGCGTCTCCTTCTTCCACCCACCACCTCTTTCCCCAAATCCAATGGGATCTCATTTACCACACACTCCATCGTTGACCCATTTGGAGAATATATACAAGGGCTTGTAACCAGTATTGGTGCAGTGAAAGCTGCCATTAGGACAGGCGGCTGTGCCTGTGGGAAGAAAAGAAAAGGGTTTTCAGAGTGTGCTCAGGGCCTTACCCATCACATCCACCCAGACAGAATCCCCAACACACATGCACAGAGAACACAAGACAAGCAGAACAACCACTGCTGAGTAAGGGAAAGAGACAGCTGCACACTCAGGGCCTGAAACAAAACTCTCCAGTGCTCCCTTCTTGACCCTCCTCCAGAAGAGTGCCACTAACTCCTCCCTCCCCCACCTTCACCTGTTTGCCCTTAGTCCCCACCTTCTCTTCCATCTCAGGACACTTACATGAGCTGGGCTCTCCATTAGCAGCACCCTTCAAGATGCAGCTGAGACTGCACCTCCTGATCCCCAGGCTGGGTGGGGGCCTCTCTCCTCACCAAATGCACGACCACTCACTTCTGTGCCTGCTTTCCCCACTCAATCAACAGGGAGCAGGACTGGGTCTGTCTTAGTTACCACGAAGGACCTGGCATTCACCAGGTGCTCAATAAATGTATGATGAATGAATGAACACATAAAAACTCACCTGGCTCATCCGAGCCATCCTTGCAGTCACAGTAGTCATCATTGACCTGATCAAAAGGGATGGTGGCCGAACCATCCAGGCAAGTGAAAGGCTTGGACTCATCGTAGAAATGATGGTCTGGGGAGGTGGGCAAGAGAATCAGCCCAAGGCAGGAAGAAGCTGTCTCAACCTAATGGCACCTCTGCTTCCACCCACTGGCTAAGGGCTGCCACCTTCCCTACCCAGAGTCAGGGAAACTGAGGCCAGAGACTGTAAATACCTAGCCGAGGAACTAAACTAGACCCCTTCTACACCCCACGCCCCCACATCCAGAGGCAGACTCACTGGTAAGAGGGACGCCCCGAGGCCGCTTGACCTCCACGGCCCAGCACACGGGAAACAGCAGCAGCAACAGTAACATTTTGCCAGATGATCGGAGGCCGGAAACTGGTTCTGTGGAGGAAGCAGGCGACGGGAAGATGCGCTGTGCCCCAACGCTGCAAGAAAGAGGCAGCTGGTCAGTGGCAGAGGGCTACTTCCAGCCAAAGGAAAGCGCCTCTTCCCCCAGCCAATTGGATTCCTCCATCGCTTCCGGGCAAAGGAGAGTCATAGGTGTATATATCGGAAGATATTTCTCAAGCCCTGTCCAGTGGAAGGGTCTCACTTTGCTCATATCAATGGTGGGGATCTCAAAACCTCCGCTCCCCATGTATGGGGAGGGGTGGTGGTGGTAAACTATCCAATTCCCGCCAATACGACGAACCGGATAACAGCCTCCCCCTCTCCCGACGCACATCCTCAAGACTACCCCAAAAGAAAATTGGGATGCCCTCCCGCCCGCTAATTCACCACCTACACGAGGCAAGGGCAAAGGTCAATAGCCACCGCGCCCCCCTAACCCAGCAGCCAACTGTTCTTCCGGCAGAAAAAAGGCGGAAGTATTCGTTATTTCCGGCACACGCTGGACACCAAAACGGCAGCTTAGGGACGCCATGTTGAGAGTGGCCAATGGTGTGCCGGAACCTAAACGGCCATCTTGGCTAGGACTCTGAAGCCTTAAGAGGAAATATTTCTGAAGGTTCGCGCTTAATGGCGGCGCAAGGTGCCTCCATCTTGGGAGTGGCGGGTTCTACGGTTGCGACAGAAAGTTCCTGAAAAATGCTTGCGAACACCAGGTGGATTTGGGGTGGGAGGAGGGAAAAACAAGGCGGGGGGGGGGGGGGGAGATTAACACGTGACTCCAAAGTTGGCGCGACCTTGCTCCGCCCCCGGTTGGGGGGCCATCCCTCCTCGCGGCATCAGCCAATGAGAGCAGTGGTGCACAACGGTTTCCTTGGGAGCGGAGAAGGGAGGAGGGGAAGAGGTTACCTAGCAATTGGTAGATGCTGCGTGGCCCAGCCAAACCGTCGGACAGTGCATTCCCAGAGTCAGAGGAACCCAAACTGACAGATCTGGGACCAGGGTGATTCGTAGTCGGCCCTCTGGCCCCAATCCAGTCATGACGTCGCCCCTGTGCTGGGCGGCCTCCGACAACACTCTGCCTTCCCAGGACCGGCTTTCGAGTACTTCCAAGGCCAAGGGAAGTCGAGCTCAGGCCAAAGGCCGCCACACTAGAGGCAAGGGCGGGGAACAGGCCTGGCACCCCCTCCATTCCAAGAAGGGACCCATCTATGCCAGCGTGGGGAAGTCCGCAGTGCACACGCAGGTGGCCGAGTTACAAAGGAAGATACAACTATTAGGTAAGATTAGGCTCCAAAGGGCATAAAATGGTCAGGAGTCAACCAACACCCAGCCCTCAGATTAGACATGGTGCTTCATGGTGCGATTAGACATAATGTTTTACCACAATTCATCCAGGTGGTTAGTTCTGGAGTCAAAAAAACTCATTTGTTCTTGGTTTTCCTTACATTATAATACTCTTCCTGGACCCAGAGCCAACTAGGCTGTATTTCATACTTTTGTATAATTTCAACTATTCTATCATGCATGATGTGAAAAACTGGTTCTAGCCCTGGCCGGGTAGCTCAGTTAGTTGGAGGTCACCCCTGTACACCAAAACGTTGTGGGTTCCATTCTCCGGTAGGACACACCTAGGTTGAGGATTCGCACACCCCAAGGGTGTGCATATGGGAAGCAATAGATCGCATTGATTTTTCTCTCTGTGTTTTCCCCTTCCTCTCTCTAAAAATCAATAAACGTAGCCTCAGGGGAGGATTAAAAAAGTTTTGGAGACAGAGTCTTCTGGGTTCATATCCTGGCTCTGAATATACTAATGGTTCGATCTTGGGGGACTAAGTAACCTAATTGTTCTCAGTTTCTCCATCTGTAAAATGGGGATAATAGTGTCACCCCATAGGTAGGTGAAATGTGTTGAGTGCTTAGAACAGTGTCTGGCACGTAGTGACACACTGTAAATTGTAAACCAGGGGTCCTGAGGGAGAGGACAATTTTGCTTCACAGGACATTTGGCAAAGCATGCAGACATTTTTGGTTGTCATATTATTGGTGGCAGCAGGTGGGCATGGCTGCTGGCATCTAGAAGTGGAGTCCAGGAATGTTGCTGAACATTCTACAATGCACAAGACAGCCCACAGCAAATAATTGTACATCCCAAGTGTCAGTCATGCCAAGGTTGGGAAATCTTAGTGTAAACCATTACTCTTGTTATTGTTTTATTATTGTTAGGGGATAGTCTTGCATAGTGGTTAAAGGTCATAGTGGTTAAAGGCTATCAGACTGCTTGTGACCTTAAACAATCTAATAAGCCCAAGCCTCAGTCTTCTCTCCTATAAAATGGGTATGACGTGGATATGCACCTATTGGCACACAGTCTTTTATACCTGGAGAGTTCTTAGTCCAGCACCCAACACATAATAAACGCTTAAAGCAAAGTATTGTGATAACATTAAGTTGATGATTACAAAAAGATCATCCTTCTGGGACAATCCAAGTCTTTCCCATCCCCTGTGACACTCCACTTGTACCTGTCCACGTCCCATGACCCCAGAGGGTGACCGGAAGGCCTTTTATGAGAGCACTCAGTGGAACATCAAGAAGAATCAGGAAACCATCAACCAGCTACATGAGGAGACCAGGATGCTGCAACTACAGCTGACAGACCTGCTCCAGGTGAGGGTATAGGAGCGAGTGAAGAGGTCCTAGGGGTCAAGGGTCAGGGCCAGGATTCCCAGGGGCAGGGCACTGCCTTATGTACACATAGCTTGGGTTAGTGGTAACTGTGCTCCTCTTTTTGCAGGGAGACGAGAAAGTAGTCCAGGCATTGATTTGGGAATGGAAGTCAGAGAAGCCATACCTGAAGAACAAGACAGGCCAGGTTTGCCCCACACTCCCTCCACTGACCATCTCCCTTTAATTTTTTTAAGACTTTTTTTTAGAGAAGAGAAGGGAGAGAGATGAAGAGAAACATCACTGTGTGTGGTTGCTTCTTGTGCGACCCCTGCTGGGGACCTGGCCCTCAACCCAGGCCTGTGCCCTAGACTGGGAATCAAACCAGGGACCTTGTGGTTTGCAGGCCGGCATTCAAATCCAGTGAAGCCACAACAGCCAGGGCCGTCTCCTTTCATTTGCAGCCTGGATCCCCTCCCCACTGGACTCCCCACCTCCTGCCCCTCCCTCTCTAGTCCTTTCTCCATATCAGCCACTACTCATTTATTCACTCAGTTATCACACACCAACCATGTGCTCGGCATGGTATTAGGTGTTGGTGATCATACAATGAAAAAAAAAGACAAAGTTCACACTGGAAGAGGGATTCACACTTTTAACATTTTCATTTATTGATTTTTTTTTTTTTTAGAGAAAAAGAATCATCGATTTGTTGTTCTACTTATTTACGCATCATTGACCTCTTCTTGTATATACCCTGACCAGGGATGGAGCCCACAACCCTGGCATATTGGGACTGTGCCCTAACGAACTGAACTACCTGGCCAGGGCTTGGGGGTTTGCACTTTAGATTGATGGTTGGGGGGGGGGGGTCAGCAAAGACCTTTTCTTTAAGAGGGGATAGTTGAGCTGAGAATGGGCCAGCCAGGAAATGATCTGGGGGGAAACAGTCCAGTCAGAGGGAGCAGCAGATGCAAAGTGTCTGGGGGTGGGAACAAGTGTGAAGTGTTCGACACATGGGGAGGCCAGTGTAGCCAGACAGGAGCGAGTGAGGGATCGGTAGGAGGTGAGGGCAGGGAAGTCATCAGCAGGCCTGCCGGCTGTGCTGAGGGGTGCAGACTTTGTATACAAAGACTCAGGGAAGTGGAAAGTGGACTGTGAGAAAGCAAGAGTGGAAACCAGGTGGTGCTCACTGGTGAAAGGTGGCGTTGTACACTAGGATGAAATCCAGAAATAAGAAGAAAGTGCCCTGGGGGGGAGCTTTGATGTAGAATGGGATGGCTAACAAACTCAGTATAGGTGGGAGAGAAAACGAGGTGAGATGACATCACAGTTTTGGACTTGAGTGCTTGGAAGAGCTGCTGAGGGCTGAGGTTGGAAAGATTTGAGAAGAGCAGGTTTGGAGAAAGAGCAAGTGCTTCATTTGGCCACGGTGATACTGACGTGCCTCTGCACACATCTGGAAGGCAGTGTGGACGTGGAGATACGAGCCTGCAGTTCAGGGGAAGGCTACATTTGGGTGTCTTCAGTGTATAGGAAGGTGATCTTTAAATCCCCAAGACTGGATAGATCGTGCCTGGGGTGGGTGTAGAGGTAAAGACCCTGGAGCTGTCTCTCCAAAGGCAAAGGAGAGAAAGAAGGGGCAAATGGGGAGGTGGGTGGAAAACCAGGGAATGGGCTTCCTGAAGCCACCAAAGTAGAAAATCTTTAGGGGTCAGACAGCTCAGATGCTGCTCAGAGACAAGGGAGATAGAAGTAAAATATGGGAGAAGGAAGCTCCTGAGGAAGGACTAGGGGGTGGTTCAGGTTCCTGCTCTGGCTCCTCTCCCTCCAGCAGGCCCTGGAGCACCTGAACCACCAGCTGAGTGAGAAGGTAAAGCAGCTAAATGCTCTGAGGCACCAGGTGAGGTTGCGGCAGAAGTGGCTGGAGGAGCTCCAGCTGCAGCACAGTCTGCGTGAACTGGTGATGGCGGAGGCACGAGATGGTGACACTGAGGTGGCTAAGGTACGGCCAGTGAGGTGTGGAAGGGTGGGAGGTGGGCAGAAGCAGAGGGGATGCTTAATCCTGGGGATGGAGGAATTGAGGGGGGAACTCAGCCCAGTCTTGCTTCCCTTTAGACCTTGCGGAACCTGGAGAACCGTCTGGAGAAGGCCCGGATGAAGGCGGAGGAGGCAGAACATATCACCAATGTGTACTTGCAACTCAAGGCCTATCTGCAGGTAGGGACCACAATGGCTGGGGAGGAGGAGGCAAGTGGGAGGGCCAGCCTGGCCAGGGACAGTGGTCACAGGCCTGCCCCACTCCTCATGCCCCAGGAAGAGAGCCTTCACTTGGAGAACCGTCTGGACTCCATGGAGGCTGAGGTGGCAAAGACCAAACACGAGCTGGAGGAACTGCATGTGGTGAACCAGGAGGCACTCAACGCCCGGGACAGTGCCAAGGTGCCAGCCCGCTGTCCCTGGGGATCCTGCCCAGAGGCCATGGGCTCCTGGCCCGGGAATCTGAATCCCAGCTGTCCCAGGGCCCCGCCCATCTATCTCCTAGGGCCCTGTGGCCTGGCCCAGTTGGGCCTGCAACTCCAGCCCTAAGCCATGGTAGATGCCAGCTGGTCCTGCTGTTCCCCTACCCATCCTTCAGAATCAATTGCAATATATGGAGGAGACCGTGTTCCGAGAGCGGAAGAAGCGTGAGCGCTATGTGACTGAGTGCAAGAAGCAGGCAGAGGAGAGGAAACTGCAGAACGAACGCATGGAGCGCAAGGTGGGTGCCCCTAAGGGTGCCGGGACCAAGGCCCTGCCCCATACCTGCTGACCCTTGTTAGGTTGCCTTTGCCCTGGCCCCCAAGACTGGGCCCCACCCACTCCCTGACCCTTGTCCAGATACCCTTTCTTGGCCTCTGTCCTAAGCCCTTGTCTGAAACCTGACCCTGGACCTGACCTCAACCTGGAGCAGACCCAGCGAGAGCACTTGCTGCTGCAGTCTGATGATACGATCCAAGACAGCCAGCGGGCCAAGGAGGAGGAGCTGCAGCTGCGCTGGAACATGTACCAGATGGAGGTGCTCTTCGGCAAGGTCAAGGATGCTACTGGGGTGGCCGAAACACATGTGAGTGCTGCCCACAGCCCTCTGCGCCCTGGACCAGTTCCTCAAGCACACAAATCTGCTCTCTTAAAAGACACCCCTTCCTCCTTCAGCTGCTGCCCCATTTTTCTGCTGCCCCTGACAACAGAACCCATGCAAACTGTCTCTACTCACCCCCAAGCCCTCTCCTTCTGTTCACTCTTACACCAGTGACGCTGACTGCTTTGGCATGTGGGCTCTGTGAGAGCTGGGGGTTCTGTCCCTCCTCTCCTGTGTCTCCATCACCTGTAACATGGTCTAGGGCCCAGCACACTGCCTAGTGCCACCCTGGGCCCAGGGGAAGCCAAACCCCTGCCCTGAGCCCCCTCTTTGCAATGTCTTCTTTGAAGACCCTGCAAAGAAGGGTTTGGTCTTCTTTTTTAAGACCCTATGTTCCCTGCTGGCCAGCAGTGATCCCACTGAACTTCAATCTGGCTTCTCCCCTTTGGGCACTCGCCAACCCTCGACTCTTCCTATGGGATGTCCCCTGAGAAGTTCCAGGACATGGACCTATAATGTCATCTGAGGCACTGTGGCTGGTTGCCTTTTCAGAAATTGGCCTGGTGGGCAGATCACTTCCACAGCCAGCCAGTATTTTCTCACAGGATCGAGCAAGATTCAGCCCAGAATGTGGTCGGCACCTTGATTTTGGAAAGCAGCTATGGCCACTGCTACCTGCCCCACACACACAGATTTTCGGCTGATTCAAATTCCTGATATGGAGTGGGAAGGGCTCATCAAAACTTATTTGTCCAAGGCTACCCACCCTTGAGGGAGCCCCGAGTCTTATTCACATAGTCCCTGAACATCACTGTGCAGAAATCACCAGTTTAGGTGACCTGTGCTTCAAGCCCCAGGAGTGAGGAAGAGGGTGGCACCTGGGCCTTCCCAGGCCCTGGCTCTGACGAGTTGGTGGGCCGCAGGCGGTGGTGCGGCGGTTCCTGGCACAGGGCGACACCTTCACGCAGTTGGAGACGCTCAAGAATGAGAACAAGCAGGTGCTGCTGAGGCTGAAGCAAGAGAAGCAGCAACTGCAGCAGGAGCTTGAAGACCTCAAGTACTCAGGGGAGGCCAGGCTGGCCAGGTGAGGCCTGGTGCCCCAGGGAGGGGGGGGGTCCTGGGTGGGGGGCACTGCACTCCCAGAACTGCCTCCCCACTCCCTGTAGTGAACAGAAGCTGCAGGCAGAGTTGCAGGGTAGCCTCAAGGCGGAGGAGCAGAGGAGGGCTGAGGCCCAGGGCCAGCTGGAGCAGGCCACACGGGCAATACAGATGCTGAAGGAGGGCCTGGAGCACCTGGTGGGCAAGCTGGAGCACGTCACAGTGGGTAGCCAGCTCCCTGAGGAAGCCCTACTCAGAACCACCCAGGACTTCAGAAGCAGTGCTGCCCCTCAGGTGAGGTTTCTGCCCTCCAGGCCACTCAAACCCACCCCATGCCTTGTCCAGGACGTCAGAGGCCCGCCTACAGGGGAGTTCCTACCCCACGTTCCTTGGGGAACCCCCTTACTCCTTAAGTGGACCAGGACTTCAGAGACCTTGTGCTGCCTCAAGTCCCACCCCCAGAGGAAAGTCCCACCTTGCCCCCCAACCCAAAACCTGCTGCAATCCTGGAGCAGCTGGAGACAAGAGAGACCCTACCCTGTCCACAGCAAAGCACTATTGCTTCAGGTCATCCCCGCAATGGCTCCTCTAGAGTGACTGTGCTCTCCCTCCCAGGAATGCCTCCCATACTCCTTGTCCTGCATCTCCAGGTCCCAGGTTCTGTCCTCACAGGCATGGCTCTTGACTGCAGGAGGCCCCGCCCCAGAGAATAGCACAACCTCTGTAGGGGGCTCAGTGTAAAGACCTGGCCCCTGGGAGTAAGTGCCCAGTCCCCAGGTATAACTCACTTGAGGCCCCACCCCCTCCTGCAGGAGGCTGGTCACTCCACTAGAAAAGAGCTGGATCCCAAGACAGGTGACTATCTGCCCAACCTGCTGGACCTCTTGGAGGAAAAGCTGCTGAAGCTGCAGGTGCAATTTGAGGGACTCAACGTGCCAGAGATGCTGTACCACATTGCAGATCGTGAGGTACCCATGTAGGGAGGGGACTGGGTTGAGAGGAAGGGGGGCAGACAGCAGGGAGCTGGGGACAACCCACAAGACCTGGACCCAAAAGAAGGCCAATTTCACATGCCCAGGGGCGGCCCCGGAGACCAGGGGCTGTCCAGGCACGAGTGGGCACTTGATGGGAACAAGGATGTGTGGGACAGGGCATCAGTGTGCGTGCTTAGGCCAAATGATGCCACTGGGCCTGAGGGAAATTAAACGGGGATTGGCCAGGGGCCGTACGGAATGAGGATACGTTGGAATGGCATGGGGAGGAGGGTGAACAGGACTTCCCCTCCCACAGTCTTCTCTCCTGCACCCCTCCTCCCCAGTTTTTTTCCAGCCTAGAGGGAAAACTGCCCACATACAACACCCGCATCACCCTGCCCCTTGCCAGTCCCAAGGACAAGTTCTTCGGTCAGTGCGGGCAGGAGCAAAAGTGGGTCTGGGGGCCAGGGGACCCAAGCAGAGAAATGTTTGATGGGAGGTGGTCTGGGACTGGGCTAAGGGCCAAAGTGGGGCAGGGAAGTCTTGAGGCAGGGATGGGAACCGGGATTCCCTTATCCCCTCCCCCGCACCACCCCACCTCCGCAGACGAAGAGGAGACGGAGGAGGAAGACAACGACGTGGTAACTCGAGAGGAGCTCAAGATCCGTTCCCAGAAATTAATCGAATCTCGCAGCAAGAGGCGCAGTCGCTCTCGGAGGCTCTAGACTCTCCCTCTTGCCCACCGATTCCGGGCGCCAGCGGAGCTCCCCACCCCTCTGGGCAGCCACCTGCCCTCCGGGACCCTTCGAGGGCCGAGCAAGGCCTGGAAGCAGGAATGGAGCGGGCCGTGGGAGCGCAGAGTAAATATCCTCAGGCAACTGTTCCGACCTTGGAATCACGAAATAAAGGTCACCGACCAGCCTCTTGGATCTTTGCCTCTCCTTGACCATGTACCACCCCGCCCCCCCAAAAAAAATACGACTGCTTCTCAAACCCAGACCACAGGCTCTGCCCGCTCCGACCTGGGGGTTGATGACTTCCGTCAACGGGGACGGAACACAGGCTGTGCCCTCTGGGCCCCTCCACACATACTCCACCCCCCCCCCCCGTCCCCGCCCAACAAGTGGGGCTGACCGGCTCTCCCCACTTGAGGACAGAGGACTCCGCCGGGGCACACAGTCCCGTCCCCGCCTGATTTATACACACCAGTCCTCGCACACCTGTGGTCACAGAAAAGAGCCTCCCCTGGGGTGGAGCGGCGGCCTTTCTTCTGTGCGCAGAATGACACACACCTGTCGAGAGAACCCGGGCTCCACCCTGAGGGCCTGGACTGGGCACTGGGGGCCAGCTGGGGGCATCCAAGAGCCACGGGTACCCCGCCCCCGCGCAGCCGGCCAGCCCCGCCCCATGGGCCCCAAGTGCCCCGACACTGCCCGCTGCCAGCGGCCCTTCCGCTTCACTCAGCCTCGCCGCGGAGCTGGACGGGCGCGGGCCATGCTGCGGACAGCAGGGAAGGAGCTTGCCCTGGTAAGGGGACCGGAGGCCCTGGGACCCCACATACCTGGAGACCCCCAAGTTCAGAAACTCTAGGTGCCCGCCCCCGAGACCGTATCTCCCAGCAGACCGGACCCTCCACACTCACCCGCGATTCCCCGCCTCCGGCCTCTCGTCCTCCGAGTGGTTCCTCTTAGGGATGGAGGAGAGGGGGCCAGAAACAGACTCCGTGAGGCTAGACCCTGGGACCTCCCCAAATGCCATCCCACCCCCACCCCCAGAACCAGGGAGGAGGGTACGAGCGTCGTCGAGGGGACTTCCCTAGCCTGAGTCTTCCTCTGGGAAGGCCTGACCTGAGTCCCGGTGGGAGAGGGGGGCCAAGGCCCCAGGCCCCGACCCCCAGCGGCTCCCTGAACTTCCGCGCCCTCCGGGTCCAGACGCCGCTGCAAGGCTGGGGCGAGGAGACTGAGGACGGCGCGGTGTACAGTGTCTCCCTACGGCGGCAGTGCAGTCAGCGCCTGAGCCCGAGGGAAGGTCCCGGGGACAGCCAGGTGAGAAGGGGACTGAAGGGCGCGGCGGGTCGAAGACTTGCAGGCGAGGGCGGGTGGAGTGGAGAGGCCAGGAGGTTGGGAGGCGAGGGCGGAGTGGAGGGCAGGAGCTGGGGCTCGAGGGAAAGGCGGGGCTCAGGCGTGGCCCGGTGAGAAGGGCGTCCAGGTGAGTGGGGTAGGTGAGTGAGGTGCAGTCAGCTAAGGGCCTGGTTCGCGAGTGGGACCTGACGGCAGGAGCTAGGTGAGCCAGGTGGATGGGGCGGAGCTGGAGAGGCAGGGGTGGTCTTCAGAAGCTGCCGAGTGAGCGCGGGTGGGGCGGAAAGCAGGGCCTCCGACAGCCAGTGAAGCGTAGCTGGAGAGCCGAGAGCAGCCTGGGGGCGGGGAGGGGGTTAGGGAGTGTGTGTCGGGGTGCGGGGTGCGGGGAGTGAGTGGCGGCAGAGGGCGGGGCCTGGGAGGACCACGGTGTCCCGGTCATTTGTGCGTAGTGCAGAATAATAAATCCGGGGGCCGGACTCAAAGAAATGGGCAGGATGAGATGCAACAATGCTGCTAGCAATGGGTGTGATTAGAAAAGAGGTGCTGGGGGGCCACTTGTCACGTCAGTGCTGCTCCCTGCCTCACAGGTCCCCGGCCCCAATACCAACACCTTCCTCCATTACCGCACAAGCAAGGTGCGGGTGCTGAGAGCCGCGCATCTGGAGCGGCTAGTGTGGGAGTTGGTGTCTGTAGATCATGAGCAGGACCCGAGCTTCGTGCCTGCCTTCCTGGCCACCCACCAGGCCTTTGTGCCCACTGCACGCGTTCTGGGCCTTCTCCTGCCACCGCCACCACCGCCCCTGCCGCCCTGGTCAGTGCCCATAGCAGAACCTCCAAGCTTCCACCCCAGACCCTCGCCTGGGCCTTCCCTCATTTCTCGAATGAGGAAATCCCCCAAACTGAGAACCCCTCTCCTAAGCCCTCCCCTTTACTGCCTCCCGTCTTCACCTGACTGGGGGGCTCCTTCCAGGGCAGAGATGAAGAAGATACAGGGTCAAGATCTGAGCCTCAACAGGAACCTGAGGTTGGTTTCCCACGGAGTAGCAGTGGGAGGTCCTAGAGGTCAAAGGTTGGACCTGAAGTTGGGGCTGGGGAGCTGCAGAACCCCCAGTGGGCCTCTGAGACTCTGCTGTGCTGACTAGGGCTGTGGTATCAGTGCTGGGCTCCTGGCTGCGGGACCACCCTCAGGACTTCTGGGACCCCCCTGCCCACTCAGACCTGGGCAGTGTCTGCACCTTTCTGGGCTGGGCTGCCCCATTTGGGGCGGAGGCCCTGGAAGCAGAGAAGCTGCTGGGAGATTTCCTAGAAGAGGCTGAACAAGAGCAGGAAGAAGAGGAGCAGCCCCAGGCTTCTGCAGGTGAGGCATTTAGGGAACTGATAGTGCTCTGTGCAGGCCTTTCTTGTTTGCTCCCTCCCCCAGGGGACTTCTCCCCTCAGGAAGCTGCAGATCTTTCACAGGTTTCTTAATCCAGTCTGACCCTCAGTTTCCTCACCTGTACAGTGGGTATATTGACCCTTTGTCTAACATATTGACAATTATCTAACACCTCCCTTTCCCCTCTATCCTAACTGCAAAGATACTCTGTCATTGGGTGCAGATGCCCTGCATTTTTCTTTTTCTTTTTTTAAAAAGAATATGTGCCTGGGAACCTAAGGGTCCCTGGTTCGATTCCCAGTCAGGGCACATGCCTGGGTTGCGGTCCAGGTCCCCAGTAGGGGGCATTCAAGAGGCAACCACACATTGATGTTTCTCTCTCTCTCTTTCTCCCTCCCTTCTCCTCTTTCTAAATACAAATAAATGAAATATTTAAAAAAAATAATATGTGCCTTTTGAAAAGTTATTTTATTTAAAAAAATTTTTTAATCCTCACCCGAGGACATGCTCACTTAAGAGAGAGGGAAATGGCATCGATGTGGAAGAGGCTGCCTCTCACGGGGACCCTGCCAGGGAACCAAATGTGCAACCTAGGCATGTGCTCTGGCCAGGAATCAAACCTTAGACCTCTTGCTTTATGGGATAATACTCCAACCGAGCCACCAAGCCAGAGCTTGTCTGATTGTTTATAGAAAAACCTACCAACCTCTGTTGTAGAGAGCTTTGGGGGCAGAAAAATATCCCCGTACTTCATTCACGTCTTTGTTCAGTTGTCACCTCCTCAGACATGCTTTCTCTGATCCCTTCCCAACAAATAGGTTCTCCCTTTCTGTGTCCTTTTAGCCTGCCTTGTATTTCTGCGGAGCACTCATTAGTTCTGTCCCCAGGGGCGGGAACAGTGCAGATTCATTGACTGAATAATTGCCTCCTGTTTATAAAGTATTGTCTTCCACCCACCTGTGTTCCATCTGATCCCTGTCACAAAGCATCTATATCCCTATTCCTCATCCTTCAGTATATTGTATCCATCCCTCCATCCTCCCTCATGGTTATTGTCTTTCTTCCTTTGCCTTCAAGATTTCACCAGCTGATTCCAAGTCATTAGAACTGTACGGTCCAACGCAGTAGGCACTAGCCCCAGGTGGTATTGAAAGTAAACTTAATTATGTTAAAAAGAAACATTCAGCCCTGGCTGGTGTGGCTCCGTGGATGGAGTACCGGCCTGCAAACCAAAGGGTTGCCTGTTCAATTCCCAATCAGGGCACATGCCTGGGTTGTCAGCCAGGTCCTCAGTGGGGGTGTACAAGAAGTAACCACACATTGATACTTCTGTCTCTCTCTCTCTCTCTCTTTCTCCCTCCCTCCCCCTCTGTCTAAGAATAAATAAATAAAATCTTACAAACAAACAAACAAACAAACATTCAGCCCTGGCTGGTGCGGCTCAGTGGTGTGATTCCCGGTCAGGACACGTGCCTTGGTTGCATGCGGATCCATGTGTCTCTCACACACCAGTGTTTCTCTCCCTCTCTTTCTCCCTCCCTTCCTCTTCTCTAAAAGTAAGTAAATAAACTCTTTAAAACAGTAAAATAAATTCAGCTCTTCGGTTACACTAGCCACATTTCTAGAGCTCCGCAGGCACCTCAGACAGCACAGACAGGATATACTCTCACCATTACAGAAAACTCTGGAAAGTGCTGCTCTAAACTATGAGTTCTGGAGATCAGAGGAGAAACTGAACATTTATTAAATACCTACTGTTTACCAGGCTCTGGGAACCTAACAGCTTTATGTTGGGGTAACTTCTTACTATAGAAAATTTCAGACATGCACAAAAGTAGAGAGAATAGTATAAGAACACTCAAACATCTATCACTCACCTTCAATGATGATCAGTTACACACACACACACACAAAAAAAAATGTCCAGGATGATTTGGAGGCAAATCTCAGACTTCTGTCACTTTACATATCAATACTTTCTTTGGTTTACTCCTCTAATCGACAAGAACTTTAAAAATATATATAACCTTCATGCCCACAATCATTTCCAACAAAATCAGCAATAATTACTTAATATCAAAAAATACCCAGTGTGTAGTCAAATGCCCCTCTGGTACCTAAATCGTCTTTTTTTTACCGTTGCTCCTTTGAAACAGAAAGATCCGTTTAAGGTGTGCTGTTGTGTCCTGGGTCCCTTTTATTCTATGACATTCCACCTTTGCCTTTCCTTTAATGCCAGTAGGGAAAAAAATGGCATTAAATGTCTAACATTGCTCATGTGTCCTGAGCAATGCTCACACTCTTCTTCATTTGCCCACTTGCTTCCTCACGGTCACATGTGAGCTGTACCTCTGGCCCCCATATTTGCTGTAAGACCTAAAGGTTTGATTAGATATAGGTGTAATTTTTTTCCCAATGTCACTTTCTGAAACTATTGCTTTGTGGTGTCACCTGTCCTAATTTGAAATGAAAGACAAATAATCAAGCAGATTTATACAGATCGTTTTAAAATGATAAGAAGATACTGTAGCTGTAATACAAAGGAAAAGAAAATGAAAGCAATTACACAATAAACTGTGCTCGTTGCTGAGCTGGTGCTCGGGCCGCCTCACTAGGAGACATGGGACGTTCTGTCGGAGTTCCGTGGTGACTGTGGCGGGCACAAACGCCTACCAGTGCAGGGGAGGTCACTGGCCACACGACAGCAATGGCATACATGTTGGTGACATCATTTTCCAAAACGCTGAACACCCCTTGTAATTTCCAAAGAAAACAAAGTTCGGAGTTTCACAGTCTTTGAATTCCTGGAGTCGAAATAATTAGTGTTTATAAATATACCTTTTTATTTATTTATGTATTTATTTTTCAAGAGAGGGGAAGGGAAGGAGAAAGAGTAGGAGAGAAATATCAATGTATGGTTGCCTCTCATGTGTCCCCCGCTGGGAACTGGCCTACAACCCAGGCATGTGCCCTGACTGGGAATCGAACCATGATAGTCTGGTTCCCAGGCCCACGCTCAATCCACTGAGCTACACCAGCGAGGGCCTAAAATAACTAGTGTTTATGAGCAAGACAGTTGGGTGTTAGGTGCAGATTACTGTAAACAGGATTCTCAAGGACACAAATGAGTGAAAAAAGAAAGAATAAATAAATAAGACCAAAAAAAGAAAAATAGAATAAAATTTTTTAAAAGGAACAAAAGCAAAACAAAAAGAAATAAGGAGACAGATGACTTAGAGGGACATTTGGAGGCTGGGTGGCACAGTTTATGACAGTGTATGACAGCCGCCCCTTGCAACAAGATTCCAAGTTCTCAAGTGACCCCTACGGAAGCCACCGTGGAAAGCCACTACTGGTAACGTCATTCGTATTTGAATATTATAGCAGCTTGGTATTCATGATCTCATTTGATTTTTATGTTTTTAAAGATTTTACTTATTTCTGGGGAGACAAAAAGGGAGGGAGAAATAGAGGGACAAAGACATCAATGTGTGGTTGCCTCTCACATGGTCCCCACTGGGGACCTGGCCTGCAACCCAGACATGTGCCCTGACTGGGAATCAAACCTGTGACCCTTTAGTTCACAGGCTGGAGCTCAATCCACTGACCTACACGAGCCAGGGCTTGATTTGATTTTTAAAAAACAAATGTGGATGAAGAAAACAAGGCACAGAGAGGTTTTAAGGCTTGTTTTAGTTTGCACAGCAAGCCTGCACAAGTTTTAATTTGAACTTGGCATTTCTGACAATAACCTTCCTTTAATCATAAAGTCATATGAACTCTCATGAAAAGGGCAGAAGATCTTATCCTAATAAAGTCTCAAAGTCATAAAGCTCTACTTTATTTTTTAATATGATGTCTTATTGTTATTTTTTAATTTGTTGATTTTAGAGAGAGGAAGGGAGAGAGAAATATCGATTTGTTTTTCTGCTTATTTATACATTCACTGGATGATTCTTGTATGTGCCCCCAACCTTCTTGGGCAGGCGATGCTGTTTTAACCAACCGACCTATCAGGCCAAAGCCATAGAGCTCTGTTTTCTGTGCTGGTCTTTGAGCACCTGACTTCCGATTCCTGCCCTGTCATATGCTGAGGTGACTTAGGGCAGACTGTTGCTGCCTCAGCTTCTCCATCTGTAGAAGGGGGTAATGGGATCTGGCTCACTAGCAAGTGTGCTAAACTTAATCCACGCTAGGTGCCCAGTGAAGGTCACCGTTGCTCTGAAGCCCTCACAAACATTCAGGGAGGTCTCCATTTCACAGATGAGGAAAAGGGAGGCTCAGAAGCACTGAGGGACTTGCCCTAGATCACACAGCGGGTCCTGGATTCACACTTGAGAATATTTACCCCTGCCCCCCCCATGCTCCCTCAGGACCTCCTAGAACTGCTGGGACCCTCGATCCAGACTCCCCTGAAGGCTGCTTAAAAGAGAGAGGGCTGGTCCAAGATGGCCCTGAGCTCCTGGACTTCAGTGCAGACGAAGTGGCTGAGCAGTTGACTCTGATGGATGTCGTGAGGATGCTGGAGGGGCGCGGGTGGGGGCGTGCGGGGACGGGGCAGGTCCCCCCTGGCACAGACCCTAATCCCCCAACCCCTGGACCCCCTCTATCAGGAGCTCTTCTCCCGGGTGCGGCCCTGGGAGTGCCTGGGTTCCGTGTGGTCCCAGCGGGACCGACCAGGGGCCGCAGGCACTGCCCCTACTGTGCGCGCCACTGTGACCCAGTTCAACATGGTGACCGGCTGCGTGCTGGGCTCGGTGCTCGGGGCGCCAGGCCTCGCCACCCCTCAGAGGGCTCAGCGGCTGGAAAAGTGGATCCGCATTGCCCAGGTGCGTCTTGCCGGGGAGGGGGCCTGGGGGTGGGACGTGGAGGCCGGCGAGGTGTAGGGAGAGAACAGGGGTGAGCAGAAGAGTAAGGACTGGAGTCCGGCGATGTGGACAGCGTCGAGATGGAGGGTGCCAACGGGAAAGTCTAGGAGAAAGCAGTGCCAGGCTGGGGTCGGGACAGCCAAGGAACCCTGGGTGGGTCTTAGGAAAAGAGGAAGGGGTGGCAGGTGGCGCAGCGGGAATGGGATTGGTGGAGGAACCAAAGCCCAGAGGAGGGGGCAGGGGTTCCGAAAATGACTGGTTAGAGGAGGAGCGGGAACCCGAAGAGAGTGGAGACGTGGCAAGAAGGAGGGGAACGTGGGTTCAGGGAGGGCGGGTTTGGGGCCCAGGAGAGGTGCTGGGGGCGCGTGCAGTGCCCAGGGGAGAGTAAGAATGGGGACGCGGGTAGTCAGAGCAGAAGCAGGGGAAGCGAGGCAGCTGGGGGAGGGGCTGGGGCTTCGGGTGGGGAGAGGGAGGAGCTCCTGGAGGAGAGACTTAGTCTTGGTAGCTTGTCAGGTGTGGGGCCCCGCAGTCTCGAGATCATAGAAGGCGGATTATACCTGGCGAGGCTTGCGGTCTGACCGGCGCCCCCACCCCGCCCCCTAGCGCTGCAGGGAACTGCGGAACTTCTCCTCCCTGCGCGCCATCCTGTCCGCCCTGCAGTCTAACCCCATATACCGGCTCAAGAGCTGCTGGGGCGCGGTGGGCAGGTGAGCAAGAGTGGGGAGAGGGGCTGGGGGGAGATGCCCTCCCTACCCAGTCCCAGCCCTGACCCTCCCAGCCACCGACCGCTGACCCCTCTCCTGTCCCCCACAGGGAACGGTTATCCACTTTCAGGAAACTTTCGCAGATTTTCTCGGATGAGAACAACCATCTCAGCAGCAGAGAGATTCTTTCCCAGGTACAGAGGCCCGGGAAGGGGGCCCAGGAAGGGGCGAGGCATAGATTTCTCTGTCCTAACATTGGGCGTCCTTTCCCACACTGCAGGGATGACCTTGCCCTTGTCTGTGGGCAGCCCCACATTTTTACTGCCTCTGCTGCCCTCACCATAGCTCACATCTGGTAACTGCCTTATTTATTCATTCAACAAATACCAGAAGAAGGTCGCTTAAGGCTAGAATCATAGCAAAAAGTGAAACAAAAAATTGTGCGAGGGACTTGACTTTAATAAGCAAAACTAACAAGTGAGTGCCCATAGACAGGTCAGACTTCCTGTGAGTAAGACCACGGTTCTCAATGCGCCTGTGGGAGTGTTTAGGGTAAGCCCAGACCACATGGAGCCTTCTTCACATTCACTCCTGCAGGTCTGCACCCAAATGCCCCCTCGGGGATGCCCGCCGTGCGCCTCCCCAGCATCTCCAGCCCCCTTTGTTGTTCTTATCTCTTATCTCCTGTAGTTAAGTGTCCTTAATTACATGCTACTCTGGTTGTTGCTCTCCCTCCCTAATGTCTGCTTCATGAGCCCAGGGTCTCTGTCTGTTTTGCTCACTGCTGCTTCCCCAGGGCTCAGGACAGTGCCTGGCTCAGAGATGGCACTCAACAAATATCTGAGTGAATGAGTATCTGACATAGGGATGATCTCAAGGATGAGCTCAAGGGAAAAGGAGCTCTGCATTAAGTACCTACTGTGTATCAGGCACCCTGCTAGGAGTCTTGGCCGTGAACCAGAGGGACACAGTTCCTGCCCTGGGGAGACTCAGGCTCCAGGCAGGGAGACACACAGGCCAATAATAACTGCCCCAGCAGTGCTATAATTAATTACCGGGCAGAGCAACATTATGAAGGCAAGGGTCGGGGCATTCCCAGGGGACTGACTGCCTGAGGGCCTGTTCCATCAAGCCTGGGACAAGGATTCTCAACTGTGTAGAGGCTGTCCCTGGGGACCGTGGTACCCACAAGCCCCACCTCTGGTCACCCACTGGGGCCTGCCTTCTGCCGCTTATTGGCTCCCTCCCTCCCTTCCCCATTCACTTTCCTTTGAGTATGGCCCTTGCAACTGGTTTGTGATGGCTGAAAGCCAAACGGTTGTGTATTGAGGTACCTTCCCTGAAGGAGAGGTCCAAGAGACCCCAGAGTTGCTCAGGGCTTCCCCTGTCCCCAGGAGGAGACGACTGAGGGACCCCAAGAGGAAGATACTCCCCCAGGAAGCCTGCCTTCAGTGAGTGCTGATTGTCTGGTGTGGGGGACAGGTGGGACTCTCATGGAAGGGGGTGGAGCTTAACGGGGTGAGTGATGGCTGAGAATGACCGGAGCCCTGGGTGCCACAGAAACTGCCCCCAGGTCCGGTCCCCTACCTTGGCACCTTTCTCACGGACCTGGTTATGCTGGACACAGCCCTGCCGGACATACTAGAGGTGTGACTCTTGACCCAGCACCACTTGCCCTCAGCACAGTGGGCCTCCTGACATCCCACCCTTGACCCTACCTACACTCCCAACCCCAGCCCCCTTAGTGCAGTGGGGCTTCTGACATTCCAACCCCTAACCTTGACCCTCAATCATTCCTTGACCCTGGAGACTCCAGTTCAGATAAAGTTTGCCCCCAGGGGGATCTCATCAACTTTGAGAAGAGGAGGAAGGTGAGTGGGCACTGGAGTGGGTGTGAGAGGGACCAGGGTGGGTGAGGGCAGGGGCAAGGTCTCAGACGCCACACCCTCAGGAGTGGGAGATCCTGGCCCGAATCCAGCAGCTACAGAAGCGTTGTCGGAGCTACTGCCTGAGCCCGTGCCCACCTGTCCTGGCTGCTCTGCGTGCCCAGCGCCAGCTCAGTGAGGAACAGAGGTGACCCTGTGGCCTGGCCCAGCCCTACCTCGCTGACCCTGGATTACACACTTGATTCGCCTAAGACCCACCCCCCCTTCTTGAGCCCTAACCACCAAACTGTGACCTTGCATTGTCTCCAGCTCAACTGCGGGCCCCAGATGACCTCTGACCTCAAATTTGACTCCATCTAACTTTCTGACTTCAACCTTTAATGCACAGCTGGCTTTTCAACCATCTCATCTGTACTCTTCCCACCCTCTAACCCTGACCTGTAACCCATTTGTGACACCCCCATCCGACACTCTGAGCCCAATCACCGACCCCCAATTTGGAGTAACTGACCCTGACTTTGACATATATTTGACCATCCAACTCAACTATCCGAATTATTTCCTTTCATTTTATTGAATTTATGACCTTACCCAATGATTACCTGACCTTGAATTCTATGCTTGACCCAATTTGACTCTTCAGTCCCACCCTGTGAATCTCTGTGTGACCTGTCAGCCAAGCCATCCCAGCTCATCCCTAATAAGACCCTATTCCTTTATGATCTCATTACTACCCTGACCCTCACATTTGGTGTCCAACTTGGCTGTTTCCCACAATGCCCAAAACCCAGATCCCAACTGATTTTAACTCTCGTCTTCCAAATTTGCCTCCACCTGTACCTTGATCCCTCAGCTACCGCGTCTCCCGTGTCGTTGAGCCACCAGCCGCCTCCTGTCCCAGCTCCCCACGTGTACGGCGGCGAATCAGCCTCACCAAGCGTCTCAGTGCGTGAGTCTTGGCTGGGGGGTGGGGAGGGGTCATGTGTGAGGTGATATGGTCTGAGATGGGCGGGCTGAGTCTGACCTTAGCCTGATTCCTTGTCCCCATCCTCAGGAAGTTGTCCCGAGAGAGAGGCTCATCCCCTGGTGGGAGTCCTGGGGACCCCTCATCCCCCACCTCCAGGTGAGTGTCCCTCCTAGTGAAGGAATTGTAGGTGACAGGGTCAGAGGTCGAGGCAGCTACGGCACCTCAGGCTCTGTGTCTCTCCCAGTCTATCCCCAGGGTCTCCCCCATCCAGTCCTAGAATGAGGGACCCTCCTCCTGGAAGTCCCCCAGCTTCTCCAGGGCCCCAGGGCCCCAGTACCAAGGTACCAGGACTGCCTGTGGAACTGTGGGCACCCAGGGCTGTGTGTGTGTGTGTGTGTGTGTGTGTGTGTGTGTGTGTGTGTGTGTGGTATGGGATTTTAAGGCCAGGCATGTACACAGGGGACTGTACTCATGCTTGACTCAGCACTCGGGGAGTCTGTCCAAGGGACCACGCACCTTTTCATGATCCTGATTGAGGAATCGTCCCTCCATCTGGTTTGTGCTCAGATTTAGACCCATGTGTCCACTCGCCAACAGGGCACTCTGGGATGCAATCACACACTTTTGTGAGAGTAAGCATGCCACCAGGAATTTGCATTCCTAGAGAGGAAACGTGGGCGTGAGTATTCACACATCCACAAGACCATGTGCAGGCCTGTTCATGGACCTGGACTTGTGTGTGTAAAACAACTGTGAGCATATGTATGTACTCACTATTCTATGTACACAGGTTTCGTGTGTGAACATGGGTTTGTGTGTTAATGGTGTAAATTTGTGTAACAGGGAGTGAAGGTCTGTATGTTATGGAATTGCACACGTGGGCTTGTGTGTGTACGCCCTAATTGTGTGTCCCCTGGCTCTGGGTATGTAGGGGCATGTGCTGAATACATTAATGAGGAAGGGGCTTAGTGCTCTGCCACTGCTCAGCTTCCACCCCCCATTGCCTACAGCTGCCCCTGGCCTTGACCCTGAGCTGTCCTCGAATCCCTGTTGTGGGGCAGCAGGGTTCAGAGGCCCGAGTCATCCGAGTCAGCATCGACAATGACCATGGGAACCTGTATCGGAGCATCCTGGTGAGGCACTTGGCCAGGGACCTGCTCGGGGCAGCCCTTCCCTTGGGAGTCAGACTGTCACACCTTACCTTTCACTTGCTTTTCCCAGCTCACTAGTCAGGACAAGGCCCCCAGCGTGGTGCAGAGAGCCTTGCAGAAGCACAATGTGGCCGAGTCCTGGGCCCGTGACTACCAGCTCTTCCAAGTCCTTCCTGGGGACAGGGGTGAGCAGGGACAGCTTGGCTGGGGGCAGCTGAGCTATGAGGTGGCGCAGGCACAGAGCAGGGATAAGATGAAGCAGGGTGGGGGTAAAAGGCAGTAAAATATTTGCTTTTCAGTTATATGGCCCATGTGGTTATCCTGGCTCAGTGTGAGGCAAGGGGACACCAAAGATGTCTCCCCAGGATTTGTGGGGAAATGAGACTGTCCAGGCTTAAATGAGAGAGACTGCAGAAGGTTGTCAGCTAAAGTATATAGAATCAAGAGGCTGTTCCAGCTCAGTCTGGTGGGGTACAAGACTGGAGGGGGTCTGGGCTTCTCTTTGAGGGGAAATGAGTTTGTCCAGACTCAGTGTGAGGACTCTGAAGTTATCTGAACTTGACATAGGAGAAGGCCACAAGGTATTGAAATTCAGGTAGGGGAGCATGAGGTTGCTCAGTGTAGGAGGTTGTCTGGTTTTTGAAAGGGAGAGGCAAGAGGTTGCTGTATTAGAGGATGTGACCTGAAGTAGGCTGGACATTAGGAAGAAATATATGAGGTTCAGGTGTCAGGGGCCCCAGATTGTGTAGGCTGAAAGTGGGAAGTGTGCAGAAGTTATCCAAGTTCATGGTAAGAGCAGCATGAACTTGGCTGGGAATTGGGTCAGAGGAGAGGAAGGAAGTTGTTTGGGATGGGTGGCCTGAGTTTGTCCAAGCTTGTAGTATAGGGTATTCAGACTTCAGGGGAAATGGCAGGAATTGCCTAGGTTGATGGTGGGGAGGAACCTGAGGCTGTACAGGCTTCAGGTAGGCGATTGTCCAGGTTCCCAGTGAGAGGAGAACGAAGATGGCTTAGCACTGGCTGAAGAGACCCAAGGTTGTTCAGGCCCCAGGGGGAATGGCATGAGGTGACCTAGGTCCCTTGTGGGAGAAGTATGAGGTTGTGCAGGCCTTTCATTATTCTGTCCATGCCTGGCCAGAGCTCCTGATTCCTGACAACGCCAACGTCTTCTACGCCATGAGTCCAGCTGCCACTGGAGACTTCATGCTGCGGCGGAAGGAGGAGGCCCGGCCCACCTCTGTCTGCCCGACCTGAGTTGGCCCTCTGCTGCCTCCAGGACACAGGTCCCACGGGCAGCTTCTATCACCATGGGGGCAGCGAGTGCACTCCCATTCCCTAGTAGAGCCCGCTGTGCTCCATACCCTGTCACCACCACCCCCCAAGTTTATTGGCCTCCATCCATCTGACCCCACTGGCACTGGATCCCTATTCCAAAGCCATCAGTTCACAGGGTGGCTGGTGAACTCCACTGCATGGTGGGGGTCAGACCCTTCCCCAGAAAAATCTTGTAATTGTTGGAGATGCATCAGAACTGACAGAAGTAGTTGAAAACAGTGACCAAAATGATGAAACAGGAGTCTGTCTTCTTTGTTTGGTGCCTGTGCTTCATATTCACTCATCATTAAGATAAAAATATAAAAGAAAAAACTAAGAAAGAGTCCTAAAAACAGGGTTGGGTGAAGCATGACCAGACACTAGGGGATGATGGCTGTCATGCACACAGGTTTCAGGACTCCCTCCCCCAACACTTTTGGGGTGGTGTGCTTCTTTTCTGCTGTGTATATGGGGGATGAAGAAGTGAAATTTCAACGGAATCAGAAACAAATACCATCATCACCCACGAGTCAATAAGGGCTGTAGGGAGGAAAGGAGAAGCTGAGCTGTCTGTCAGTACTGGGGTAGGAAAAGACACAGGTAGAGAAGGCAGAGATGGAGTGAGCTGTAGGGCCACTGACAACAGAGTCATGACAATACTAATCATATGCCCACTTATGAACTCTACTCTGCTGGACAATAACTAGGAGCTTTACATTTCACTGTATTAGTCAGGATTCTTTATGTTTCAAGTGGTCAAAAATCAAACTCAAATAGGCATGTGCAAAAAAGGAAATTAATAGCTTGTGTGATCGAAAAGTTCAATGTGTCAGCTTCAGGTACAGTTGGATCCAGGGACTCAAAAGATGTCATCAGGATTTCATTGCTATTTCATGGCTCTAAGTTTGCTTTAAGAATAAAATTGCCCATTGTGCCCTCAAATCCAATCACCTTCTGTGGTAATACCACCAGTGATCTTTACCTGGTCACCTAAAAGTTTTTTTTAAATGTATTTCCAATACCCTTTGCAGCAAAATGTGGCCATGTGACCAAGTGCTGGACAGTGAAATGTAAAGAGAATGAAGATGGGCAATGCTAGGTTTTTGCCCATCCTCCTCTTTCTCCTTTTCTGTCTCCTGCTGTTTAGAGTGAATCATTTTGGATTGGGTGGTTCACACCCTCTAAATAACTAAGCAACAAACTGAAAAGAGCATGGTTGTCTGAGATCACACAGCTGCTAAATTGAATTGCTGCTTCCTGGGTTGTTACATTAGAGAGAGATAAATGTCTGTCTTACTTGAACCACTGTTTTTGGGTCTCTGTTAATAACATAGCCCAACTCAAAGCAGGCTCGCACCACCTGGGTGCAGGGCCAAGCTTGCATCCTACCACCTGCACCTTCCCATGCTTGCAAGGAGAATTAATCCCTTTTTCCCATCAGGTCCAGCAAAAGTCCCATTCAGATGCCCAGTGGACCAGCTTGTGTCATATGACCACCCCTGAACCAATCACTGTTTAGAGGAATGTAACATACTAATTAGTTGGGCCTGGGTCCTGTGCCCATCCTTTGAGCCGGCAGAGAAACTTCGAATCACAGGAGTGAAGTCTGGAAGGGCACAAAAATGGAAATTACATTTGGATACTGTTACTAGAAGAAGAGAGAATTCTGGTGAATGGACACAAAAAGTAATTCCTAGAGTTGTAATAGTGGGGGATGCTCAGGCCCTGTCTGGGGTGGGAGAGGACACAGAACAATTTAATCATCTTGCCCTGGCTGGTGTGGCTCAGTGGACTGAGTACCAGCCTGCGAACTGAGGAGTCACTGGTTCGATTCCCAGTCAGGGCACATACCTGGGTCGTTCGCCAGGTCCCCAGCTGGGGGCGTGCAACAGGCTACCAGTGGATGTTTCTCTGGCACATCGATGTTTCTCAACCTCTTTTCCCTATCTCTAAAAAGTAAGTAAATAAATAAAAAATTTAAAAAAGCATCATGTCAGGTCTGGTAAAAGAGATTGCAGTACACAACATGCTTTTGGGGGGGCGGTTAGGGGTTGCTATGAATATTAAGACCTTAGTACTAATTGGATGTACTTCAAGATATTGTCTGAACAAATAATAACTGCTATATAATGTCGTATGTCAATCATATCTCAATAAAATAAAATAATCGCTATCCTTACTGAGAGCTTACTATGTGCCAGGCTCTATTTTAAGAACTTGACGTAATACGTCTCCTTTTATACTCCTAACAGCCCTACGGAGGAGGCACTACTATTTTACTCATCTTATACATGGAGAACTGAGACTGGGGAGGATTAAGCAATCTACCGAGGTGGCATGGTACATGGCAAAGCTGGGGCGCGATGTCCAGAATATGTGCACTTATGCCGGGCTAGTTGGTCTCTCAGGATCACAGCTTACAGCTTCAGCCTTTCTCACACACGGTCCGAGTGCCAATTTCCTGAAGACGAGATTCTTACTGAATCACTTCTTTTTCAAAATTGCAGGGGGTACACGGGCACAGCTGTATCCAATGATTAACACGGGGTCAACTACATCTGTACATCTATTAGCTGGGCTTTTCTCTAATCTTTACAATTACTTCTTGAGATCCTACTGCGTGCCAGCAGTGAGGGCAGTGAATCAATCAATAACAAAGCATCATCTATGGTAGGTAATACGAAGCACAACAGCTGCAAGATAAGTCATTTAAAGGCAATGGGGAGTGTGGGATGGAGGGTTGCTATTTTAAATAGGATGATCAGGGAGGGCTTTACTGAAGAGGTGACATTTGGGCAAAGGCCTGAATAAAGTGAAGGAGGGACCTCCGATATTTTGAGGAAGAGCCTCCCAGGCAGAGGGAACAGATGGTGCCAAAGCCCACGTTAACTTTACTACCTGGTAGTTTCTTCCCTCCTAATGGCAAAGGTGTTCCAAGCTGCTCCATCTGCCTACCTTGTCACCCAAGGGAAATGACACCACTTTTCCCAGTAAGGCCAGGTAAAATCCAGGTGGAAGCTCACTGATTGCATTTGGATCACATGCCCACTGTGGACCAATCACTGTGCTCTAGGGAATGGAGCATTTAATTGGCTAATCTGGGGCTGGCAGGAGCAATCAGGTAGGTATCACCCCTCCTCAAGCATGTACCTCTGCGGGCTATTTAGCCCAGGTTAAACTCAGCCCAAGCAAACAGCTTTTATGGCCTATTCTATAATGGCTTTCCACGTTATTAAAAGAACTGCACACTCCTTGTAAAATAAAATCTCAAGTATACAAATGTAAACAGTAATTTTAAAATTTTTTCACACTCCAGAATATATGTAATTTTACAAATACAGGATCAATTACGATTATTATTTATTTCTACCCAGACTGAGTAGAGATGTTGATTAACATGATAATATCAGTAGCTTACATTTTTTTAATGTTTGCCATATGCCAAGCCAAATTTTACAGATGAGAAGGCCGAAGCTCAGATAAGGCAGGTCACCCGTCCAGCGTTACACAGCGTGAAAGTGTTTCTGGCAGGAACCAGAGCTATTCTCGTTCACGAGCAGCGGCAGCGGGGCCTGAAAGGGCCTCTGCCCCCTCCCACCGGGCCCGGCGGGGCTGCCGCCTCCTGCTTATCTCAGCTCAAGCTGCCTGCTGGTCCCGCCCCCTCGGGGGAGCTGCCACTTGGAGACGCCTGGCCGGGAAGGGCCTGGTCAGCTGTGTCCGGCGGAGGCAGCTGCTGACCCAGCTGTGGACTGTGCCAGAGGTGAAGGAAGCGTGGGGCAGGAGCTCTGGGCCCCCCGTGGCGGGGGCTGCACCATGGATCACCTCGGGGCGCCTCTCTGGCCTGGAGTTGGCTCCCTCTGTCTCCTGCTTACTGGGGCCACCTTGGCTCCCCCTCCCAGTCCCCCGGGCCCCAATTTTGAAAGCAAAGGTAAGGAAGGATGGAGCCGTGTGGACCCCTACACTGGGTCCTGGAGAGTAACACTGGGGCCTGAACTTTCAGCCTATGTCCTCTGGACCAAGCTGGTGTCTGAACACCCAGCGCGGGTTCTGGTGGAGTGTGTCGGGTCTAAGTCTCCAGACTGGATTGTGGGGGGAACCCTGGAAAGAAACGTAACTTTCCTGTTTTATCTTTTCAGGGAGCCTGGGACATGCTACATACTGATAGGACAGGGGCGGTACTGGGTCTGGACTCCGGGCACTAGGGTCCCTGAGGGGAGAGGACCTAGCGTACCCTTCAGTAGGGGAGGGAGGAAACAGCTCGGGTCCGAGTCGGAGGGGCCGGGCGGCAGGAGACTGTAAACACGGTTTGCGTGCGGGCACCAGATCCCTCGTGCCGCTGGGTTGAGGGAGAGGGGCGGAGGGCACGGTTGGCGCTATCGGCGGCGGGGGAGCCTGCTGGGGCCGATAGGGAGCCCCGCCTCCTCCACACACACCCACTGGCTCTCTGGTCCTGGGCTGGGGCCAGCGGGTAGTGAGAAACGGAGTCCTTGCAGGCTGCGCTCAGTTCAGCGCGTGGCGGGTGGGCGGGTAGGTGTGGGGGCGACAGTGAGGCAAGTAACCTGTGCTTGGGAGTTGGGGAGGCACCACCTCTGCGTACCCCTCCGGGGCCCCGCTGGGGTACAGAGCTGGGTGGGGCCTTTGTCTTATCAGTCGGCACAGGCGGCGGGAAAGAGGGGGAGGGCGCTGTGGTCCGAAAACAAGGCTCGGCTCCACGACCCCTTCACCTTCCCCCCCACCCCCCAGCGGCCCTGCTGGCGGCCCACGGTCCCGAAGACCTTCTGTGTTTCACCGAGAGGTTGGAGGACTTGGTGTGTTTCTGGGAGGAAGCGGCAAGCCCTGGGGTCAGCCCCGACAACTACAGCTTCTCCTACCAGCTAGAGTGAGTCCAAAGAAGCGGGCAGAGCGCCCCCAAGGTTGGAGGGAGCGGGCGGGCGGGGGCGGGGCCAGGGCCCGTTGGCACCTCCCCTGCCGGTGCGAAGCCCGCAGAATCAGGGCTGACACATCCCCTAGTGGCTGAAGTTGGAACACTCCGGGGATCACCACTGACGTCCCAAACATCAGGGCTGGGACAACCTGTAAATCAGGTCTGAGTCTCGTAGGTGGGGCTGGGTCGCCCCCTCGTGGTAGTGGCCAAAATGAATTCATAGTCCGGTCAATACCTCCCAACTTGCTCCCTTCACTACCCCCGTCCCTTCACACACAGAGGTGAGCTGTGGAAGCCGTGCCGCCTGCACCAGGCGCCCACGGCCCGTGGAGTGGTGCGCTTCTGGTGCTCGCTGCCTACGGCCGACACGTCGAGCTTTGTACCCTTAGAGCTGCGCGTCACAGCGGCCTCATCGGGTGCTCCACGCTATCACCGTGTCATCCAGATCAACGAAGTGGGTAAGTTTGCCCGGAATGGGGGAGTGGTTGGGAGGGGGGTCTCCGCCTCCGCCCACCTGAGCTACCCTTCTTGGTAGTGCTCCTGGACCCACCGGCGGGGCTAGAAGCACGGCGGGCCGACGAGGGCGGCCAAGTGATCCTGCGATGGCTCCCACCTCCTGGGGCCCCCATGACGAGCCTCATCCGCTATGAGGTGAACATCTCCGCAGGCAGCGCCTCAGGGAGCACGCAGAGGGTGAGGTTCAACCCCACGTTTCAGCCCCAACGCCGCTCCAAAGTTGCAGCCCTTCTAAGTCCCGCCTAGATGGTCATCATGGCCCCGCCCCTCCAGGCTGAGCCCCTGACGCCCAACACCCCATTGCCCAGGCGCCCAAGACAGCTCCACGCCCACCGACAGGACCCTTTCCACTGCCTCCCCAGCCCACCAAAATCCTAGTCCCAAACCCTAGACCGCCCTCAGAGCCCCCTGCGGCCGTGGTGCTCTGTTCCCACAGTCTAGTCGGGCCGGTCCTGATTGGCCCCGCGCCTTCTGGGCCTGGCCTCTTAGTTCCAGCGCCCGTCGGCTGCCGTCCTTCCTTTCTCTGATTGGCTTGCCCTACTTGCCTGTGTTTTGTTTTGTTTTGTTTTGTTTTGTTTTGCCCCGCCTGTGTGTCCACACCTTTCAACCCTGCCGGGATCCCAGGTAGAGATTCTGGATGGTCGCACTGAGTGCGTGCTGAGCAATCTGCGGCGGGGAACGCGTTACACCTTCAAGGTACGCGCGCGTATGGCGGAGCCGAGCTTCGATGGCTTCTGGAGCTCTTGGTCAGAGCCTGCGTCGCTGAGGACAGCTAGTGGTGAGGCCCCAAGTAGGGGTGTAGGAGGGACTGGGGCTGACTGTGGGGCAAGCCCACTGCCTTGACCTATTTCCGGCTCTCCAGACCTGGACCCGCTTATCCTGACGCTCTCCCTCATCCTCGTGCTCATCCTGCTGCTGCTGGCCGTGCTTGCTCTCCTCTCCCACCGCAGGTGAGCAGCCCTCGTCCAGACCCCTCCCCACCACCGTCCCTCCTTTCCCCCCGTGGACACCTAAGTTCAGAGAGAGGCCCAAGGTCACACAGAAGTCTAGCAGGGCTGGGATTCGAGGCAGACCAGACCCAAGCTCTTAATTAAAATATTCTGCTCTGGGGGTGGTCATCTGGTTTTCCTTCTGCCTCAATGGCTGCCCTTTTTTAGATTCCTTTGCAAGCTTCTTTTCCCAATTTCATCAGCTTTTGTAAAGTCAACAACATGGGCTTAGTGGAAAGATTTAAGCCCCTGAGTGTCTTCCTGTCCGTTATTAAGCTCCTCAGATGCTTTATGATATGACTGGCCATCCTGAGGTTTTTGTAATTCTAAGCACATACCAGGTGGCTTTACAACCCCAAGCCTTGGCACATGCTGTTCCTTCTGCCTAGAATGCTCTTCCTGCCTTGTCCACTTAGCACTCTCTTAGTTGTCTTTCAAGGCCCTGTTCATTTATTTGGTTGGAAAATACAAGGTCAACAATGTGTTAGATAGACACTGGGAGAAAGTGAAAAACAAGCCAAGTATGTCCCTGACCCTGAGAATCTCACGGCTGAGTCAGTTAACAAACAAGGGAACCAACATATTTGGTTATAAATTATGATGAGTGACATCACAGAAACAAATGGGATGTGAGGAAACGATAGCAGTTAGGGAAGACCACTGGGAGAAGAACATCAAAGTGGAAATCTGAAGGTTGGAAGGAACCAGCCATGTGAAAAGCAGGAAGAAAAAACAAGTGCAAAGGCCCTGAGGTGATAATGAGTTTGGAACATTGAAGCAGCTGCAGGAAGAGCTCAGTGGCTAGAGCAGAGTGTGTGAAGAGGGAGTAGTGGATGATGAGGTGAATGGAGTAATGTGGGTGAAAATAAGCAGGGTTGTCTGCAAGGCTCTGGGGAGGAGATTGGTGTTTATTCTGAATGCATTAGGGAACCATGGGAAGGAGTGACATAAGGGACCGCCAGGCAAGCCTGGGCCAGGTTAAAGGGGCACGAGACTTTGTATATTAAACTATACATCCTTCAAAACTGTTTCAGTTACCCTGTAGGCCCTACAAATTCAGCCAAAGCCCCCTCTCCCCATCCCCTATGCACTCCTCTGCCTTCATTACGATCACCAGGGGCTAGGAGTATCTGTGCCCGTGACTGGACACAGAAGGAACATAGTTGTGTTCAATGACACATGCCCATATACTTGTTTCCTTTGGTTTCACCAGGGCTCTGAAGCAGAAGATCTGGCCTGGCATCCCAAGCCCCGAGAGTGAGTTCGAGGGCCTCTTTACCACTCACAAGGGTAACTTCCAGGTAGGTGTCCTGATTGTCTCCTCAGGGCCTACGGCTTCCCTGCTCCTGCAGCCAAACCCCAGGTCTCTGAACTGGCTGGTACTGTTTCCCCAGCTGTGGCTCTATCAGAATGACAGCTGTCTGTGGTGGAGCCCCTGCACCCCCTTCGCAGAGGACACACTCACCCCCCTGGAAGTTCTCTCTGAGTGCCGCTGGGGGGTGACACAAGCAGTGAAACCAGGGGCAGATGATGAGGGGCCCCTGCTGGACCCGGTGGGCAGTGAGCATGCCCAGGACACCTACCTGGTGCTGGACAAGTGGTTGCTGCCCCAGAGCCCATCGAGCGAGGACCTCCCACAGCCTGGTGGTGGTTTGGACATAGTAGCCATGGATGAAGGCTCAGAAGTTTCCTCCTGCTCATCTATTTTGGCCCTGAAGCCAGAGGGGGCCTCAGCTGCCAGCTTTGAGTACACAATCCTGGACCCCAGCTCCCAGCTCTTGTGCCCAAGGGCACCGCCCCCTGAGCTGCCCCCAACCCCACCCCACCTAAAGTATCTGTACCTCGTGGTGTCAGACTCTGGCATCTCAACTGACTATAGCTCAGGGGGCTCCCAGGGAGCCAAGGGGGACTCATCCAATGGCCCCTACTCTAACCCTTATGAGAACAGCCTCATCCCAGCCCCTGAGCCTTCACCCCACAGCTACGTGGCCTGTTCCTAGGACTCTAGTACTCAGATGCTTGGGGACCCAGCATGACCTCACGTGCTAGTCATGGCCCAAGACTTATCTGGCAGGGTCAGCGGGGCCTCTCTCAGAACTAGGGGCATTTCTGACCTTGTCTGTGTGTGCCTAATCTATCCAAATCAGGAAGTCACAACCTTGCAGTATTTTAAAAAAAATTTTTTGTATATATATTGCTGCTTCTATATGGCTCTGACCATAGGGGGAGCAGTATAAAAGGCTGTGAGCTCAGTCTGAAATTCCAGACCTGGAAATCTGAATAATCATAATAAAATGAATTAACCACTGTAAGTTATGCCAGCTGCCATAACAAACTAGTTCTAAATCTGAGTGCCTTAACACAATTAGTAGTTTCTCTCTCATATCTCAATTCAAACAGGTGGGCAGCTATCCCTGGGATAAGTCAGAAGCCTGGGTCTTCTGGTCTATAGCTTTGCCATCCTCCAAGGCTACCCTGGGGTCTTTAGATGGATCCTCTGTCAACCAACCAACCAGCCAACCAGCCAACAAGTAAAGGGAGAGAGAAGATTGTGTGGGTTATTTTAGGGATCTAGCCTAGAAGTTCCACCGGCCAGAAATGGTTTCAACCCCACCTAGAATCATGGATGGCTGAGAAATGTAGTTTAGCTGTGTACTCGGGGAGAGGAAAAGCTGTTTAATTGGCCTCTAGCTCGTCTCTGCCACTAATAATAACAATAACAGCAACAATATTAATTTATAGGGCTTTATTCTATATCAGGCCCATTCTAAGAAAGCATTCTGATGACACCAAAGGTCAAGTGGCTCAATGGGAGTTCAAGTTTAACCACTTTTTAAAAGTTTGACATAACTCACAAAAGCTGAACAAATGTATACCTTCTGCTGCAGCAATTCCACTTCTAGGAACCCACCCCCCCACACACACACACCAGGACATGTGTGTAAGAATGTTCACAGCAGTAAATATAAGTCAATCTGATGAATAAACTGAAGTTTGGTCACCCATGAAATTACACGCAGTAGGGAAAAAGAAATGAACTAAAAAATGTGGCTGAGCTTCTCACGAAAATGGCATCCCAAGTGAAGGAGGAAGCCCCTGCCCCTCCCAAAGCGGAAGTCAAGGCAAAGGCTGTAAAGGCAAAGAAAGCAGTGCTAAAAGGCATTCACAGTCACCACCAAAAAAAGAGGTCTACACATCACCCAACTTCCAGAGGCTAAAACACTGCGGCCCCGAAGGCAGCCCCAATATCCTGGGAAGAGCACCCCCAGGAGTAACAAGCTTGCCCACTATGCTATGATATCATCACATTCCCCCGACTCCCCCTGAAGTCAGCTGTGAGAAGACAGAAGACAACGGTACACTTGTGTTCACCATGGATGCCAAGGCCAACCAGCACCCGATCGAACAGGCTGTGAAGAAGCTCTGTGACATTGGCGTGGCCCAGGTCAACAGCCTGATCAGGCCTGATGGGGAGAAGGAGGCATGTGTTCGACTGGCTCCAGACTCTGCTTTGGATGCTGCCAACATAACTGGGATCATCGAAACTGAGTCCAGCTGGCTCATTCTAAATATAAAAATTTTATACTAAAAAAAAAAATGTGGTCAATTTTTAGTAACAATGCTGAGGGGGGTGAAGAAAGAAGTCTCAAAGAATGTATTTCTCATAAAAATCTTTTTATAAAGTTCAAAACAGCAAAACTAAACAATATGCTGATAGGGTACAATATGTATATCACAATGCTATTTTTAAAACAGAAAAAAACACTTCACATTCTTTAGGTTTTAAAATCTGTACATGTCCCTGAGGTGAATGTCCCAGCCATGGGAACCAGGCATAGAGGGGTCGTCACGCACCAAAGCTCATGGCTGGCCTCCAGAGCGTGAACCCTTGTCTCAGCTGGGGTCACCAGCCTGGGTATGCCATGGGGTGATTGTCATTTTTCCATCTGGTTGGAAGGCCACACACCACTCTGCCCTGGGGACAGGCCCACATGGCTCCAGGCAGGCTCTGAAGCAACGCTCTCCTGAGCCTGAGGCAATTGGCTGCAGCCAGCACTGGGCAGGGAAATACCTCTGGAGAATGGACAGCTGCAGGGCATCCCCACTGTTTCCTTCCTCCTGGGTCTGGAGGGCGACAATGAGCCCACAGCCTCCTCCAGGCCCAACCTGGTGGCTGAAGTGGGCAGCGGTGTCTAGAAGCAGGGCAGCCAGGTAGGCAGCTTCCTGAGGCTCCAGGTCTTCAGCTAGGTATTCCTCCAGGCCATCAAGCAGTAGAAGGAAGGGAGCTGGCCCGCGGGCCTCGTGGGCAGAGCACAGAAGCTGAAGGAGCTCGTGGGTTGAAGGTGGGTACTGGAAACGGATCTTCTAGAGGGAGAGGAAAAAAGCAAAGGGGCAGGTTCAGCACAGGAAGCCAGGTTCCCCAGCTTTAACAGCCTTGCTTTCTTGCATACTTTCCTGTAGGAGGCTCTCCCCAGACAGCTAGCTCGAGTGAAGCAGCTCATAGTGGTCGAGTATGTTCTTCCATTCGCCCTCCCCCGCCCCTCTCATTCCATTTTATTATCTGTCTGCCCGGTATTAGCTCAGATCAAGGTATGCCTTTGTTCTTGTTTTGGTTTTTAAACGACAGGCGCAAGATTAGAGTTTAAAGAGATAGTACGACCTCAGAGCAAGGTTTGTCTTCTTGCCAAATTTTTAGGTCAGTCTTGCCACTCAAAACCCACCCTTAGTCTTCCCAGTCTGACGCCATCACTGACTCCGGCTTCTCTAGAACAAATTCGCGTCCAGGAAACCACCATCAGGAGCTGTGGTGTCGCAATCGGTTAGCCCGCGGTACTTATACCGAAAACAACCATAATTAGTCCCGTTCCTTACAGACCACCCACCCTTCGGGCACAGCCTTTCGTTAACTCCGCCCCTTCATCGGAAATTCTCTCAATTTTAAACCCCCAAAGGTCCGGTCCCCAGCTCATTCCCGACTCCGCCCTAGAGGGGCTGTTCCGGCTCGCCTTCCTTCGCTCCACCATTGGTCTTTCTACTTGTCACTCAATCCTCGACCCGCCCCTCCACTGGCTGGTCAGACTCTGGTCCCAGCTCTCACTTACCTGTAGCCGCAGGGGGTCGAGCGCTGCAGGCGTCCTTCCGGGCAGGCTTTGCAGAGGCCGCCGGGTCAGAAAGAGGACCGGGCCTCGGCCCTCCCCTGCCGCCTCCAGGGCCGCCGCGAATAGCAGAGCTGTCTTTCCAGACCCTGGACCGCCGAGCAGCAGCAAAGGTGGTCCGGCCTCAGCTGAATTATCCTCCCCAGACTCGGCCGCCCTGCTAGGGCTTAGCACCCGCCTCAGTGTCCCCGCCATCCACTTTGTACCTCTGTCCAATCGGAAGCTTGTTCCTGCCCTTAATCCCGCCCAAGGCTAGGCCTCGTTGGTTACGGTGCACTTAGCTTCTCCATTGGTCTATGGATCTGTTCATCAAAGTTAGATAAAGCTTTGCTGGCTCCTACGAGGGGGAAGAGTGATTGATCTAGTCTGAGAGAGGAATGCGACCGTTTGAGGGGGAAAAGGCCCTTCCCTTGATTTTGTTTGCTGCGAGAAGCAGCACCAGTACGGTTACTTGTGAGCTGATCACGAATCAGATGAGTCATTGAGAGTTGGAGGAAGCAGGCCCACCTGAATCAGTGACACGCTTGAAGTCTCCTAACTTCAGCTTGCTCAGCTGTAAAATGAAACTCATGTTATTGCAGCGGGAGAAGCCCCCGTGCCCCCCCCCAAAAAAAAAAAACACCGGAATTATCTTCTGGAAGGTGGTCCCCTTGTAGTACAGGCTTCCCTGGCTAGGCGAGTGTTCTAGGAACCCATCTGTATCAGTGTACCAGCTGACATTGTGAGAGACTGCGTTTGGCTTCAGTGATTTTTTTTTAAGACTTTCAATGCATTTGCCCATTTCACGATGGTAATTTACAAGCACACCTGCCACACCACGCTGAGTGTTCAGCAGGTCTTGACCAAAAATATCCATGCCCTTGTGTGCCCCATCCTCCCTATTCACCTGATCTCCCAGGAGTAACTTTTTGTTTGTTTCCCTGGGTGAAAAAAGTCCTCAAAGGGAAACGTTTTGCCCATGTGAAAGAGGTGGGGAAAAAAAAAAAGAGGCAGCACTAAAATCAAGGAGGTCAAAAACTGTTCTGAGCAGTGGGGAAAAAAAGTCTCCATAAGTGTATTGTATCAAATAGAGAGTAAAGGTGATTTGAGCTTAAACATTTTCATTACAAAGATTTAAATTACAAAATTTAAAAATTGTGTAAGAATAAACACACAATTTTTAAATAAATAAATCCCAGGTTTTGGGGATTCCCCCCCTTGTGTGTTTCTGCTGATGTCACCCAATGACAACTGAGAAGCGGAGAGGTGTACTTGTCTCTCTCTGGGTCTGAGCACCCACACAAGTGTCAGTGGCTGCAGGCTAAAGGATATCCATGTGCAAAGCCTCAGAAGCTGTTTCTGAAGGCCTGTGAGAGGTTTCAACAGGCTTCCTCATTGGCATGGAGGCTCCTCGGGTCCTGCTAAGGGTCAGGATGGGGGGCAGGTAGACAGAACGCAGAAACGACGAAGAAGGGGCCAGGAGAAACAAAGAAACGAGCATAGAGACTGGGACCTTTTTTGCTTTGTTCACTCCGTAGCTCCAGCGCCGAGAACAGTGTCTAGCTCATTGTAGATTCTCAACATACAGGATGGAGAAAGTAGGTTTACAGTTATGAGTATGTGAAACACAGTTCTTGTATTATCATTTATTAATTATTGTATTTTCTATACACACAACTGCAAACCTACTTTTCCTCCACCCTGTATGTTCATTAAATAAGTGAATGAAGAAAGGAAGATAGGATTGATGAGAACTGGGAGAGAAGGAGGAACAAGGTGTGTGATCAAGTGATCGCGGGCTGGGGCTCCTCACTCTGACTTTGCCACAGAGCTGCCACTCAGGGTCCTGTTGCCCTGGCAACTCTGTCTCCTGGTAACTTCAAACTAGTGCTGTTGCCAGGAGACCCAGGGGCAGGCGGAACTGAAATTTCCGGGGCTTTTCTCTTTCCCTCTGAGACCAGAACACAGCTCCACAACATCCCCCAACATGCCCACTCACACAGCCGGTTACTCCCACAACCCCCCGAACACATGCACACACACTCACCATGGCACCTTTGTATATATTCCATTTCCAGAATTCCCATCACCCACATGCTCATAGCTTTATCCTACCCTGACATGATGCATCCCATATACACTCTCTCCTACCTTCACACCCCCACACCCTTCCCTTGAACACACACCAGAATACACTAATACAGCCATAGCATTGCCACCACACACAGACACAATTCCTTTCAGCTGATATTCCTGCAGCTCTTTTTACACACACACAAACACACACATTTCCTGTTAGCCGATGCGCCTGAAGCTCTTCTTATACACACACAGAGATGAGACACAGTGTTACACTGCTTTGTCAAAAGCACCACCTCAGCCCCCTTCAACAGAATAACATGATTCTCCTCCAAATGCACAAGCACCCAGTAGTGACAAACATATCACAGTTACATACATGGAAGCATGCTGAACACAGCCCTACCTCAGGTGTCTTGCATTTACTGTTCCCCTGACTACAGAATCCAGCTTTCAGAGAGCCCTGTGGTGCTTTTTTCTCCCCTCCATTCAGGTCCCTTACTCAGGCTTTCCCTGACTACCTGTGTGAGATTGAACATGCTTCACTCTTGAACTGCTTTTCTCTTTGTCTATCTTCAAATAACTTATAATGTTATTTATTTATCTTATTGCTTCTCTCCCTACTAGAATGTCAGTTCCATCAGGGTAAGGTCTTTTTTTTGTTTCCCAGCTCCTAAAAGAGCACCTGGCACTCAGTAGGTGCTCATAAATGTAGGCTGAGTGAATACATAGGCAGAGATGCAGACGTCTGGCATCTCTCATGCATACAGTACTTCTTTCTCTCACTTCCTACAATCCTGTCTTCATGTTCTGATGGAAGGACAATTAACAGAGATGCTCCCTGGAGGAGGGAGGACTGATGGGTTGAAAGGATGAGGAAGTGGATGGCTTGGGGATAGTCTGTGCTTCTCCCTCACTTATCAATATATTCAAGTTAATTTATTTAACAAATATTTATTAAGCACCTACTGTGTGCCTGGCCCTGTTTTGGGGACTGAGCAGTGAACAGGTGACAGTCTCTGTCTGAGCTGACATCTCGTGTGAGGGAGAAGATAGTGACCACCAAGCGTAATGAGGAATTTAAACAGCCTACAAACAGATGTTAAGTGCATGCCAAAATATTTTTTTTGCCCAGGGAAGGAGAGTTGGGAGGATCAATTGTTTGGCCTTTCTTGAACCTGTAAATAGCGTGGTAGGGGCAGACCTCAAATGAGAAGCTGAGAGTTGAGAAAAGCCTTGAAGGAGGTGATGGAGTGAACCACGCAGGTATGTGAAGGAAGCACGCTCCAGGTGGAGGCACCTGCAAAGGGCCCTGCAACATCAGGAGAACTTTGAATTTTACACAGAGTGTCATGGGGATCCACAAGGTTGGAGTAAAAGAGAGTCATGGTCTTATTTGCATTCTAAACCGGAGTTTCATTTTGGTTGCGCTGAGTTTGTGATGCTGTGAGACGACCCACAGGGCACATCGCGAAAGAAAGCTTTTGAATAAGCCAAGTACATCTTGGTCTGGGCTCCTTACCTACAATTATCCATCCTGCGGTGGGGATGTGGGCAAGGCCCGGGCTGTTGATTCCACCGTCTTTGGCGGGCCTAGACACTTCTTTGTGTCCGGCAGTCCCCATTTTACCTACCGTTTCCTGTTCCGCTCTTAATATCAGCACCATGGACAGCACCAAACTGCCTTGAGCGAGGTGCTGTCCACCGTGCTGAATTTTTTGCTTCCTTCCTCGCCTGCGCGGAGGCAGCTGTGTGACAGGTGGCAGCTTGGGTCTCAGGCGTAGGAGCCCTGGAAACAGGAGCTCTGGTCAGTGAAGCAGAGGGCTCCATAAATATGTCCCTTCTCCGCTTTCAGCCCTTTTGTACTCCCATCTCCTTCCCTGTGGTCCACAATCAGGCCCATCATCTCCCCCTCGCTCATTCCGCTCCAGCCACACAGGTCTCCACGCTGTTCCCTGGACATAGCAGGCACACTCCCACCTCAGAGCCGTCCCGCTTCCTCTTCCTGCCGCCTGGAATGCTCCTCCTGCCATCCCTGGTATTTCAATAGCTTCTTCCCTCCTTTCCTTCGCCCCACATCTCCAGTATCCTCTCCTCGGGAAGAACTTTCCCGACCACCCGCTTTAAATTGCAAACTGAGTCTCCATCCCATAGTTCTGCCAGTGTTTTCCTTAGCTGGAGTTTTCTCCTTATCACTTATCAATATCTAACATGTCGGAGATTCCAATCCCAGTTCTAAATTTGTCTTAAGATTTGGAAATCAGAATGTTTTAGATTTTTTAAAGTTATTATGGTGAATACTATCTGTTGCATAATACCCCTGGTGGGAGTCTGGGATATCTCAAAATCAAACCCTATTTTTTTTTATCTAAAGATTTTATTTATTTATCTTTAGAGGGGAAGGGAAGGAGAGAGGGAGAGAAACATCAATGTATGGTTGCCTTTCGTGCATCCCCTGCTGGGAACTGGCCTGCAGGGAGCCGGCCTGCAACCCCGGTATGTGCCCTGACTGGGAATCGAACCGCGATTGTCTGGTTCGCAGGCCCGCACTCAATCCACTGAGCTACACCAGCCAGGGCTCAAACCCTATTTTTAATGAAACATAAGAATATTCAGATCAAGTTAAGTAAACAAAAGCTATAATAACCTCATATCAGTTCAGGTCAGGTTATGGCCACAGAGTTATGAAAAATATTTTAGGTTTTCAGACCTTTTTGAAATTTGGAATTGTGATTCTGTATATAGCTTAAGTACCTTGTTTGTTTGTCTCTTACATATTATAATGTGAACTCCATGAAGGCATGAAGTTTTGTCTGTTCTGTTAACTGCTACAAGTCCCTGTGTCTGACTACACAGCACCTGGTACACCACAGATGTTGCTCAGTGTTTGTGGAGTGAATGAATGAGAGAAGAACCTGGATGACTCCGTGCCCTGAATGGCCTGAAGCCCCTCAAAGCCACGGTGGGAGATGTGTCTATAGCTCCTTGCCCCTCCTACTCTCCCTGGTCTCTGCTGGGTCCTCAGCACAACATCACACTGGAAGCCCTGCTTTCGTCTATGTATCTAGGGCTTGACTTTGAGGTTCCTGCTGCTCTCTGCATCCCCCTTCACTATCGGGACCCTCAAAGTCTCTTCACCCCATTCACTGTGCCCTCTGTACCCTGGCCATGGTCAGAAACAGGCCAGCTGCCTGGGGAAGACAGTCATGTCAGGCCCCCCACCATGAGTCTGCATTTCACATGAAGAAACATGGGTGCAGAGAAGTTTATTAACTTCCCTGAGGCCAAAAAACTACTGGGCCAAGCTTTAAACCCGAGTTGCTGGCTCACAGCCTGACACTGCCTTTCCACAGTGGCCCTCAGATACACTGTAACAATACACTCACACCTAGACCCACAGTTCAAGTTCTCCACACTCCAACACCCAGGGAAGGAAGGCATATGGCCAAACTTCTGTTACAAACAGGTCTTTATTAAAGGTGACGAGGAGGGGCAGGAAAGGGAGTTGGTGTCTCCTCTGCCCACTGCCTGTGGCTGCCCTTGGGGGTGGGAAAGCCCTCTCTGCTCCACCCATGAGCCCACAACGGCACATTTACATGAGGCTGAGGCATGAGGGCAGTGTGAAGAACGGTGGGGGTGGGAGGTGGGAGGCTTCCAAGAGAACAAGTCCTTTACCACAGCCCTCATAAGTAGCAGAAGGGTTTGGGGTGACCTGGGCCCAGGCAAAGGGAGACAGCACCCTGAACAAAACCTGTGAACTGGACATGCCCTGCATCAGTAGGAAGTTATGAGGGGCTGGGTGACAGGGTGCACGTGGTGGAGGGACTGAGAGGGGAAGGGGTGCCCCAAGAATCCTGCCATGGGGGAGCCTGCCCCCCACCCTCTGGCTAAATTCTGATCCTGAGGAAAGAGGTCCTGGTTACAAAGAATGACCCCAATTCCCTCCTCAATTCTGCACATACTTAGACATGGGCGGTCCCCCATTGGCTGGAATCATACCCACCCACCCTAGAAATTCTGAAAACCAAGGACTCTTATTGGTTGTTCATTTGCTGAACACTGGCTGGAGTTTCCCTCTCGCCTGAGGATACTAAGAAGTGAGGAGGAGGCTACCATTGGCTGGAGTAAACTCCTGTTAGTTAAAATTCAAAGAACTGGAGGCTCCCATTGGCTGGGCAATGGCCAATGGGATCAGGATTTGGCCCTTAAAAGAGCAATTATAGGTGGCAAGGGCCCACCTCCCACTTATGCCCACTTGGATGTTCCAGAAGGCAAGAGAGGCAGGGAGTCCCCCAAATGTCCTTCCAGCCATCCTCTGATATCTGGGCCTGGCTGGTTTGGAGACGGGGGCTTTGGCACTCACATGGTGCACACACACACACGTGTGGTAGGGAATAAATGAGAAATGGACAGATTCTGGGTGGGTGGGTGGATGGGCTTCACAGCAGGTGGTCACGGCTAGCAAACAGGTAAGGACTGAAGTTGTCCCGGTGGAAGGGGGAGGGATAGAGTCCACTGAGGGTGTACAGGTCCCGTAGCAGGGGTGTGGGCAGCAGCAGTTTCCGGCCACGTCCACCACCCCCGCCTGGCCCCCCAGGCCCAGGAGAGGAGGGTGAGGGGCCCTGGCTGGTGGTTGGTGCTGGCAGGGGCAGGGGCAGTGGCAGGGGCGTTGGCTCAGATCTCAACCGAGGGCGGGGCACACGGGGTGACGAACACATGGCTGGAGCCCTGGAGGACACGCAGCTTGGGATCAGGTGGCCACGGCGGGCGCAGTTCTGCGGCTCTGGGGATCAGAGATCAGGGGATTAGAAAGCTTGGGAGGAGGTAAGACCTCAGGCAAGGACCACCACCTGGAAGTCCCCCCATTTACCCCACCCCCATTTCCTCAACACTCACTGGATGGGGTGAGCCGTGCCGGTGTCGAATGCGGCCTGCAGGCCTCGGGTTCCTGAGACAAAGAGGCAGAAGGATGGGGCTAGCAATCCCCTGGGACCCACCAGCCACAACATTAAGGAGCTCACTGGGCAGAGAACCCAATGGAAAAGACAACCCATTCTCAGGACTATCCATGTCCCCTTGGCAGGAAGAGATGGGGCACACCCTTCTATTCTGTAGAACTGTTCCCCAGGTTTTATCTCCACCGAGATGAGTCATGCCCCAATGTCCTGACACCTCCCCCACTTCTTGCCTGACTCCCTGCCTCCTTGGTCCCCCTCCACCCACCACCCTCTCCAGCCGGGAACAGTCCCCGGCCCCCCTTACCTGGGCTACACTTAACTTTTCGAGGGGGCTGTCCGTGGTAGGGGCTTGGCTCAGGCCCTCCCAGGGGGAGAGCCTTCGGCTGGAGGGTCGCCGGCTCTGGAAGTTGTGCACTACGCAGGTGACCTGGGATAGAGGGAGAGAGGCAAGTTGAGGCTCGTAAGACAAGAGTGGTATAAATATCATTTCACACTTTTCAGATAAGGAAACTGAGGCTCAGGTTTTCAAAGGCAACTAACATTGTTATGGTACCTACTTTGTCCTTTTCACTTAACTAAGTAGCATTATCATTATTTATTCCACTTGGCTGGAACTAGGAGGCAAGCAAGGCCAAGTTGTGCCAGGGCAGGATCTGATCCTGCCTTTATTTAAATTTTGATATTTTTGCATTAATTTGATTGTTAAAGAGTTTCATTTAAAACGTTACTTATCCGAATTAGGGAGTGTTTCAGCACCCCTTTAAATGCTGCACTCAAAGCAAGTGCCTCACTTGCATCATCACCCTGATCCAGGCCCTGTTATCCCATTTTACAGACAGATATTCAGACAAGGTAATGCTAAAGATCTTGGCCAAGATCATAAAGTCCACACCCTTCACAATCATGCAGCCCTCCCTCTGGGGCCAGGGAGACCTGGTGGAGGGTCTACCATACCAGAATGGGTGCAAAGGGGTCTCACCAGAAAGGTGGCAATGGCTGCCCCAGTCAGGAAGCCGGCCAGCACATCCGACCAGTGGTTACGGTACTCAGCCACGCGGACCACGCCCACCAGGAAGGCGGGGCACAGTAAAGCCAGGCAGAGCGAGGGTTTGACCAGACGGGAGCCCTTCACCCGGAACACCAGTGTCACGTACATCTGTGGGAACCGGAGACCAGTCAGGGTACACAGGCAGTGCAGTTGTGGAACCTAAGTGTCCACCGCATTTGGGGTCAGGGGGCATGGCCAGAATCTCCAAGATCAGCACTGTAGCCGGAGGATGTTGTGGTCAGAGGCTCCAGGGAACAGAGCTGGAGGACAAGAGTTCAGGGGATGGAGTCGTGGACTCCCAGTGGGCCCTTATTGGGCTGGGGGTGTGGCCAGATCTCCAAAGAGCAGTGGAGCTCTCTGGGACAGAGCATCCCAGAAATCAGTCACAGCTGGGGGAAGGCCTTTGCTGGGCTAGGGTGTGGCTGCAGAACCAGAGGGAGGAGTCAGGACCCAAGAGGCAGGTCCAGGAGCTCCGGGAAGTGGAACCACCAAACTCGAGGGCACCACTGCCTAGAATAGAAACTGACACCCAAATTCCAGAAAAAGGAGTCCAAGCAACATGGGATGTGACCAGGGAAAAGCAAGGCTAAGTCAGGAAGTCCTAGCAGACAAGCCATAGGCGTGATCAAAACAATCAAGTCCAGGACAGAGAGGGGGGAGGCTTGAGAGCTCCAGGAAAGCTGATCCGCCCATTCTCCCAGCCAATATCCAGGACCTGTGGCATCCTGGGGACGTGGCTAGTCTCCAGACACAGTTTCTTGACCCCACAGGGCACAGTCAACAGCCTCCACTGGGCGTGGCATTACTGGGTCAGGAAGCAGGGCCAGATACCAAAAGACGCAGTTTAGAACAGCGGTAGACTCAGACTCCAGGGAAGGGGGGAGCAAGACCGGGGTCTAGGGGGAGGAGTCAGAGCTCTCTCTGGACAGACTCCGCCTTATAGGCGGAGCAACACAAACGGGGCGTGGCCTCACTCCGGAGGAACCGGAAGCTCCAGCCCTAGTGGCCTCCTGCCAGCAGGCTGCCCCGCGAGGTCCCCAATCTCCACTGGAGCGCTCCCATTTTGGGGCTCACCGCTGTGTAGGTAACCGCATAGGCGCAAAGGGCGGCGTCCTTGCAGGGGAAGGCGCGGCGCGCAGCAGCCACTAGGCTGGGGCTGCCAGCACAGGCACCCTGGTCGGTGACAAAGCGGTCAGGACCTGGACGGTCCGGTGAGGGAGGCAGGCAGCCCAGAGCCGTGTAATTGGGGCGGCACACGGACAAGAAGTGCGGTGTAGGGTTGCCAGTCACCACCTGCCCTGCGTTGGCGAAGATGGTCGTGGTGAAGAGGCCGAAGGCGTAGACCCCTGAGGATGGGGTGGAAAAGGGGGTTCGTTTCCGGGATGCCGCAATGACCCTCCTCCTGTGAGTTCCCTTATGACTCATCTGGGCCCCTGTATCCTTGTTCCCATGACCACCATTAAAGCACCTGGGACTCCCCTTAATGCTGTACCCCATTATAACTGGGCCACCAAGACAGTACTCTGGGCCTCTTCTGTCCCTCTGAGATTACCTCTGTTGGAGGTGGGCCCTCCCCTGCAACCCCACTGTACCTGGCCAGCCCAAAAGCATTAAATCAGCAGGGGGCCCATGCCTGGGACCTCCTAAGACCACCGTGATCGCATTTCTGGTCCTCTTTATATCTGACCTGGACTTGCTGTTACTGAGTTACTCATGTTTCCTCTGGATCACCAATAAGCCAGAGCTAGACCTCTGGCCCTCTGCCACAGGGACCACCATTATGGGTGAGCTGTGCCCCCTCCCCTCCCCCATGGCGATCCTCTGTGTCTAGGACTACATTTAAAGCACAGCTGAGGTCTCTTTTCCCATGGTGTTTGGCCTATACCTGTGTCCCCCTTTTCTGAGATTCTCCTTGTGGCAATTTGGGGCCCTCCTCTTACAGTTGCCATGGTTAGCTTAGGCCCCATCCATGTCCCTAAAAACCTCCATCATGCATGGCCTGAGTCCAAGTCCCTTTTTGCCCCTGAAGGCACCATCATGACAATTCTAGGCCCTTTCCCCCCTGGAATCCTGACTGTGGCTAAGCCTGGATCATATCCCCTTGCATGGCTGAACCCTAGCCCTGTCACTCACCCAGGAAGCGGACCAGCCTTCTCAGTGGGGGGCTGAAGCGGCAGCAGGCCCCAGACACAATGGTGCTCTCCCCAATGATGGGGATGGCTGAGGGTGGTGCGGGGAAAAAGGCACGTGCCAGCTCCCCCAGCAAGATCTGTGGGCGAGACCAAAACAGGGTCTTCCTGGCCTCCAGGCCCAGCCTTCTGCCCACCTCCCCCTGATCTTTCTGCCTCCTAGGAGGTTGTCCCACAGTCTACCAAGGCAATCCCCAATCTCACCGTGAGGGTGGGCCCAGCGGTGACCAGAGCATAGATAAGTGCAGGAGGTGCTCGGCTGACAGCCTCAGGCCCCGGATAGGGCTTGGCGTAAGTACTGTCATAGCAGAAGAAGCCCTGGGTGTGCACAGGAAAGGTGTCTGTGAACTCCAGGCGGTAAGCGAGCAGGACCACCACACCCAGCAGCACCGACTGCCGCCCAGCCAGGGTGGACAGAAAGATGGAGAGAGACAGAGAGAAAGGAGAGAAGGTCAGGCCTGAGCTGGGGACCTGGAGAGACACACACACACATGGACACAAAGAGAGACAGAGTGGCAGGGAGTGATCAAGACTGAGGGAGATAAATGGAGTAAAAGTGACAGAGAGATGGGAAATGGGGCCAGAGAAGTGTCAGGGCCTGGGAGACACACAGCAGGAGATGGAGATGGAGATGGAGATGGAGACAGAATGGAAGTGAGAGGAGAAGAGGGAAGAAGAAAGAGAAGGCACTTGAACAGCAGAATAGAAAAAGGAGAGGAAATGAGGTGGGGGCAAGACAGTGAGGACATGCCTGAGATCTGACCAGAGAGAGATCCAGAGAAATGGGTGACGGAGACACGGAGCACCAGGGAACGAATCAATGCTACTAGTATTGAGCAGCTGCCACAGGTATAACCCTTACTGTGGGCATGGTGTCATGCTAAACCTCTCCTGTGAATGAATACATTTTACCTTCTAAGTGTGCCTATTTGACAGAAGCAGAAACTGAGGCTCAAGAGGACTCATGGGACATGCCCAGAGTCCCAAAGTAAGGTTGGGAAGAGCGGGATTGGAACCCTGAAGTGCCACTTCTGAGTCCAAGCTTATAGCCACATCTCAAGAGAAAGGGAACTGTACTCTCACCCCACAGACACAGGGAGAGAGAAGACAGGACTGGAATCGGGACGATGGGAAAATGGGTTTAGGTAGGAACCTGGCAAGGATGAGGGAGACAGGTTGGGCAGAGAGGGGACAGGAAGACAGGTACGCCCTCTCCCCATTGAGGGTCTGAACAAGGTACTGGGCTCCTCACCTCTACGAAGACAAAGCAGGGAATGATGGAGAAACTCCTCTTCAGCTGAGGTCTCCCTCCTGCCATGGTGAAGGCCCAGGCCTGTGGAGGTGGGGAGGGAGTGGAGGGGCCAGGGTGCGACCCAGGGGGAGGTAGGGCAACTGGCCCGTGCAGTCCTCTGGCCGTGCCTCTGCATATCCAGGTCTTAACCCTGCCCCTGCCCATGGGAAACACTAGCCTCCCCTGACATGACCTGCTCAGCTCAGGCTATTGCAGGACAGGCTGGGGACCCCAGAAAGAGATCCTTTAGTGGTCTTCACCCCTTACAACCTACATAGGAGATTCTGACCCCATACCTTTTAGGAGGGACTCTCCTCCCTGCCAAGCAGGACCCCTCCCCTTGGCCTGTAGAAGAGAAGTCTCCAGCTTAATGGGGACGGCTGCCCCACTGAGGAGAATCCATGTAGAAGGCTTCTCATCCCTCACCAGTTTTTAGGGCACCCCGTCCTCTTTCCCCACATGCTTTACAGACAGCCCCATGCTCCATGTGCCCACCCCTGTCAGGCCCCTCCGCTGAGCCACTCCCCCCATGGCCCACAAGGGCCTTTCTCCTGTCCCTATGGTTTGCAGCTGATGGCCAGGCCCTCCTCTCCCAGCTGCCTCCCCCTCTCTACCTTCTTCCAGCCCATCTGCCTCCCTGTGTCATTAGGGCTGTCTGCTCACCATGTGCTCCCCTCTACCCCCAGCACTGAAGGGCTAACAGTCACAGGTGTATGACCCATTCTCCCAGCCTGGCCTCACCTGTGAAAGAGCGCTATGGCTTCCCACAGGCGGCCACCACGCCCATGGACTCACAGCTGCTCCTGGAAGCCAGCAGGGCACTGACGGTCACCCCCATTGCACAGATGTGGAAACTGAGGCGCGGGCAGGTGAGGGCAGGCACTCTGGGTCCAGTGCTCCATCCACAAGGCTTGCTCTTCAGTGTGACATGTAGGGTGAGGGTTGCTAGAGGTCCCAGATGTATTCTCCCAAAGACACAATCACTCGTACTGGCACCCCCAGAGCACACAACTCAGCCACAGCCTCCATCCCAATCCTGCCCCCACCCACACCATGGCCCAGCATTCATCCATGTCTCACCAACATGGACCAAGTAAGTACCTGCTGCACTCTGGGCACTGTGCCGGGTGCCAGCCTTGTGGTGAACAAGACAGGCACCCTTGTTCAGACAGGTGCCCAACACCCACCACACACTTAACTGCACACTTGTACACACACATGGCACCGTGTGCACACAGCCTGTCACAGACACCCACACATATCAAACAACTCCCTACACCCCCGCCCAACACGCAGTCACAGGGACACAACAGGAAGTCCTCCACACACCTCTTGGCTCCGTGCACAGCCCCACTCGAGCCCTCACCCCTCAGGGATGTGGACTCAGAGCTGCTAACACACTTAACAGTAACATCAAAAAGAGAGTCACCACACACAACGGGGGGTCACAGGACCAGTCATAGTGTCACACCCCCAATTACAAGGCATTCGGTGGCAAGTACACACATGAACAGTTCTCATCCACACTGACAGCCACAGGAGAGCCACACGGAGACACAGTGCTATCCACTACCACAATCACATGGCCACACAGAGGCACATACGTGGACCATGACAGATTCACACACAGCCACACGAGAAAGACGCATGATCACAGCCACACACTAGAATGCAAAAATGGCTCTGCCCCACACCAGCCGAAGGAACACACAAGAACAGCCACACAGTGACAGTCATACACACAACCATAGATACCAAGACAGCCACACAATCACACAGATAGCCATCACAACGACACAGCCACACACATAACATCGGTGATATCCACGATGACAGCCACACAATGACAGCCACAGGAGACAGACACACACACACCACACAGACACTCCAGAAGCCCCACAATCACAGCTATACAGACACACAATGACAGTTATACAACCACACACTGACACATAATGACAACCGTACGGTCCTGGTCACACTCACCACAACCGCTTGGCTTGTCAAGCCCGGCGGCCCCTTCCCATGCTCCTCTCCCCCAACCCAGTCCCCAAGCTCCAGCTCCCCTCCCCCTCTCCACGCGGACCCGCAGGGGTCCTGACCAACTGGATCTGAACCCGAGCCGACAGACAAACCAAGGGTTGGAAGCTCATGAGAGAGGGTACAGGGGGCGCTTCAAGCCCCTCACCGGGTCAAGGGTGCTGCTGCCTGAGCTCGGGTTCCGCCTAGACGTCACCAGCACGGTGCAACGGACAGACTGACAGCCAGCCTGGGAGGCTGGCGGAGGCACAAATGAAAATGCAGTTGGTCCGATCCGGCTCCTCGCTGCGCAGACTCCATGGAGGGATGAGGGGCGGGGCTTTTGCGAACCTTATTTGAATTATGGTGTGGGCGGGGCCTCCCGATGGTCATTAGCATGACACGAGGAGGGGGTCTCAGATGTTCTTTGGGGCGGGTCGTGTAAGAATAGTTGGAGGAAATGAAGGCTGGAGGTTGAGAGGGAGGACTCTGGGTGAAGTGAGGAGGATGAGGATGAAGAGGGTGGAGTATCAGAGTGTGATCCTGGGTCACCACGCTCCCTCTCTAAGCCTCAATTTCCCCATTAGGGAGTAGGGGCAGCAGTGTGAAACAGCCTGTCTGGGCCCTCATATTTGGACAGACCAACCTCCTACCTGTCCTATACTAATCTGGCTTCACACCGTCCCTGACCCTAGGCCCACACATCCCAAACACTCGCTGGGGTCTCCTGTCTCTCTCCAATACTGGGGAGTAAATGGGGGTGGGTCACTCTCAGGCACAAGAGGCAGAAGGCGCAACAGTCCGCAGGTGGAGGAGGGTCTCGGCTAGTTTATTTTCTCTCTGATGGGATCTCCAGGGAGAGCAGCCCCTGCTGCTCAGGCTGTGAGGAAAGAAAATGGGTAAGGGCCAGGTCTGGTCCAGGGGACCCCAGGGCTGGCAGGAGAAGCCCAGGGTTGGGAGCTGGGCGGGTCCGTACTGTGGGATTCCAGGGCTGGCCTGGAAGGGCAGGGTGGGTGGAGCAGAGGAGGACACACACACACCTGGTGGGAAGGACTGGCTTTTGCCGAATGGGGGCTGGGAAGGGTCCCGGTCTGAGTCCGAGTCCGAGTCCCAGGAGGGGTGCGGAGGGCTCAGGCACCGGTGTTCCCTGTAGCCTGTGGGAGGAACAGGTGCTATTCCGACTCTCCATGCATCAGTCCTGAATGTGACCCCTGAGAGACCTCTGACTATGGGTCAGTGTCCCTCGATCACGTCCCTTGAATATAACCCAACGTGACACCAAAGTATGACCTCAAAGACCCTTGAATTTTACTCCAATGATCCTTAAAAAAGATGCTCGTGACTGTGAGAGACCCCCTGGTCTCTCCAGAGACTCCTTAATGTGACCCCCAATTAAAACCCAACAGATGTGACCTCTGAATATAGAGGGGGAAGAGGGGTTTAAGGGGATTAAATGCTAATGGAAAAAATAAAATAGAGATTAAATTAAAAAGAACAAAAACAGAAACAAATATGGCCCTGGCTGGTGTGGCTCAGTGGATTGAGCACCAGCCTGTGAACCAAAGGGCCGCTGGTTTGATCCCCAGCCAGGGCACATGGCTGGTTGAGGGCCAGGTCCCCAGTAGAGAATGTGGGAGAAGCAACCACACATTGATGTTTCTCTCCCTCTCTTTCTCCCTTTCTTCCCTTCTCTCAAAAAGTAAATAAAATCTTTTTAAAAACCTCAAATACAGACTCTGAACATGACCTCCATGTGTGAAATTGAAGAATGACTCCCCGCCACCCCCCCCAGCATGGCTTAGCCCCCCTCACCCCTGAGGCTCGAAGCCTTGGGGCGGACCCCCGAGGAAATGGTGAGGCCATCGAAAGAGTTCTGCAGCATGTGCACAGCAGACCTGCAGGAAGATGGGGAGCTGGGGAGCCCAGGTGACTCTGGACTGCTTGAGGCTGGGGCAGGGGTGCTGTTGGGGGTGGCAGGGGCAGAAGGGAGTCCTGCTTGGAGATGGAGGTCTAGACTCAGATGGCTTCCAGGTTTGGCGGTCACTGCTTGATCAGATTGGTGGCAGGGCAGAGCAGAGCAGGGCAGGGCAGATAAGGGTCAGGGGTCAGAGGTCAGAGTGGGAGCTGGGCATCACCATATGTCACTCAGCTCCTTCTGGAGGTCACCCCTCCAAGAACCATTGCCTCCTGATGGCATATCCTCTGTCTCCAGCCAGTTGGATGTCTCATAGCCCTGCTGTTTCATCTTGGTCAAGACCTAGGGCCCAGAAAGGGGTGGGAGCTGTGAGAGAAGAGCAGCAGTAAAAGTAACGATGGTGTAAGGTGATCATTACATGGCACTTATTACATTCCAGGCTGCCTTCAAAGGGCCTAAGAGTTCGTGCAGCTGCTTATTCTGGTAGGGATGTGTTGTTATACCCATTACACACATGAGGAAGCTGAGGCCCCAGAGGTGAAGAAACTTGCCCACAGTCACACAACTGGCAGAGAAGAGATTGGAGCCCAGGCTGTCTGGCTTCAGTCCACTGATGAAGGCTAAGAGAGATCCCCCAACTCCCGTGGGGTTCCTGTCCTCCCCTCTCACCTTACGGCACTTCACCTGGGTCTTCTGCATCTTCTGGATGTTCACTAAGTTCTCAGTGATCTCCTCCTCCTGTGCCTCTGTGAGAGGAGGGGACTCAGGAGGACCAGACAGCAGAAGGACAACCCCCCATCCCCCGCCCCCAGCTGTGGCCTGCAGGCACTCACGGAGCTTCTGATAGATGAAGGTCACCTCCTCCCGAACCAGCTCCAGCTCCTCCCACAGGAATTTCTTGCTGAGGGGGTAGTGCAGCCTAGACCTACAACCCTTGCCCAGCCCCTGGCCTCCTGGCCTCCCAATTTGTCCACCTGCCTCCTCCACATTCCGTGTTCCCATCTGTTCAAGCACCCATCCCCACAGACTCCGGCCCCTCCCCCAGCTGCCCACTCACCTTTCCCCTCCAACTACTATTCCCCCCTCCCCTCCCTAGCCCCCACAGCCTCCCATTGCCTCCATCTCTCTCTGCCCTCCTGACCTCCCATATCCCCAGCCTCTGCCTCGCTCAACCTCCCCATCTCTCAGCGTCTTGCTCCCCTGGGCTCCCTTTCATCCCACCTCCAGCTTCCTATCCACCCTGCCTTCTGGCCTCCCCATCTCCCCCACCCCCAAACACACTGCCTCCTGTCTTACCCCATCACCCCTTCCTCTTGTCCCCCAAGCCATCCATCTCTCTTGCTCAGGCCTCTCCCCTTTCCCCCAATCTGGCCTGCCTGCCTGCCTTCCCTCCCATAGCGTTCAGGTTCCCCCTCTGGCAACACCCACCTGTCTCGGATCTCCTGGGCCAGCAGCTGCAGGCAGCGGGTAGTGCGGGCCCGCTGCACCTCCTCACTGTCCCGCAGGGTCTTCTGCAGCCCCTCCAGGCCTTCTGCCAGGGCCCCATACAGCTCTTGCTGTCCCTGCTCCACAGCCCACTTGTTTCCATCCTTCTCTTTCTGCCGACTCGTGGGGCACAGGACTTCTACAGAGACAGTGGGAACTTGATGGAGGCCAAAACAAACCCAGCTCAGCTTCTAACCCACCTTGCCTTCGCCTGGCTGGATCCTGAACCTGAACTCAGACTCACCCACTTCTCTCATTCTGACCCAGCTGGCCCTGACAGCCTCCAGCCTGACCTTGACCCTAGGCCAATCCTCACCTTCAAGCTGTTGGATCTTGATCTGCTGCAAGCAGCTCTCCTTTTCCAACATGGTCACTGAGTGATTCAGGAACTCGAAAGCCTGTTGGGGAAGAGGTCCTGCCTGGAGGAGGGAGGGAGACAGCAGACAGGGACAGAGATTGCTGGGGGCAGGGCTGGCTCAGGAGGCTAACCTTGGTCTGGGCCTGCAGCTGGTTCTTGAGTGCCTCTAGTTCGCATCTCAGGAGCTTCTGGGTGTCAGGAATCATGGTGGACTTAACTGTGAGCAGAGTTATCAGTCAGCCAGGCTGGGAAGGGTGGGTTCAGGGGTAGGGTCAGGGGCAAGGTCAGGGCAGTGGTTAGAGGCTCAGGGCAGGGGTAAAGTCAGGGGACAAGGTCAGGAGCAGGAATTGACCACAGCTCAGTAAAGGCAAGAGTCAAGGGTCAGGATGGAGGGTAAGGTCAGGGGCAAGAGTCAGCTGATGCTGAGGCAGGACTGAGTGGGTGGCAATGGCAGGATTCCACAAAGGATGGGGCAGAGGGTAAAAGTAGGAACCAGTGGGTCTTCCACACACAGTCTCGTTGGGAGGAAGGGTTCTCACCTTTGACTTTGGAAGAGTTGGTCTCCAATGGCTTCTAGGGTAGGGGAATATGAAAACAGTAGAAATTCATCCCAGGACTACCTCCTTGCTCACCCCAACCCAGTGTGGGGACTTTGGAAATGAGTTGGGTCCCACACCCTGAGTGCAGGCAAAGCTGCCTTGAGGCACATGTGTGCATTCATCCCTGGCCCATACATGTTCGGAAGTGCACTTATGCGGCTTGTACCCTGCATGTGTGTGCCTCTGGGCTGCCCCTGACAGCACACACATGCAAAGCCCTGTCTCTGGTCTGGGATCAGGAAATGGCCCTCCTCCTTAGGGGCATATGACATTGACAATGTCTGCAGGAAGCGCTGATAGCAGTCGCACCGAATCCTGCCTAATTCCACAATAGCGGCCACACAGTCACAACCCTGGGCACAGCCATGCCCTCTACGTCATAAGACCCAGGGCACTCACTCACACTCGTCTCTGGTATATAACCGGACACAAACACACAGGCAGTTATACCCAGAGACAGTTATAGACGAGACTCCAGTAAGACACACAATCCCACATCCACTTCATTCCCTCCCTCATCCATTAAGACACTTTCACTGCAGGCCTGCTGAGTGCTGGGAGGTGTTCTGGGTGCTATAAACACATGGTGGGAGGGTTCTTGAGGAAGACCACCTTGCCTCCAAAACCCCCTCCCTAGGCCCCACAGCAATAGATTGCAGCGCAGCAGGAAGGGGTTTCCCAGGTGGGGGTGACCTTAGTGATGCTCTGACGCTTCTTCACAAGTTCCTGGTCATTACAGTGCTCCTGTGAGGAGTCTGAGTTGGGCAAGGGGGGAGACCCATTCGACCGAGGCCCTGAGTCCCTCCCTCGCTTCCAGTCTATACTCGTCACTGTGTTCTCTGAAGCAACTGGCCCCAAAATCTCTGGTTCTGGGGTCCTGGACCAGTGAGTTGTACAGTCCAAGGTCTTGTCCAGGGAAGCACCTGTGGGAAGGTGAGTGAGCGGTCCCTGAGGCTCAGCCCAGAGCACTCCAGCCCCTCCCAGCCCCCCAGCCCTGGAGCAGCCCCTCAACGAACCCCAATACTTGTCACGCTTCCCGTTAGCAAGCAAATACAAGTTGGAGGACGAGGGAGATGAGCAGTAGCAGGGCACAGAGTAGTCAGGGTCCCGAGGTATGCCGGCCAGAAGAGGGTCGCTTTGAGTAGGGAGGACAGGAGGCTGCACTGAGATGAGCCCCAATGTCCCGACATTCCAAGACCCTCCCTGACACCCCAGAGAGGCCTCCTTAATACAGGGCCTCTAGCCATGGTAGGAGCAGGATGAAAGGTGGTCCCAGCCCCAGGGGCCGGGTTGGGCAGTGAGAAGGACCTACAAGACCCCACAGGAGAAAGTGAGGCCTCAGAAGAGTCTAAGAGAAAAAAAGATCTTGCCCTAGACATTGTGGCTCAGTGGATTGA